CAGGTGTGGTTTACGATATTCCTTTCAGTTGCAGCCACTCCTACGGATAGACAGTCCGTTGTATTAACTAGAGATTATCGAAACACAAGATATTCGGTCGCTGGAGGCTCACCTTCTAATATTTTTTTACATTGTCGAAAGTGTGAGTATACGCTGAAATCTAATGACTGTACAGTTCTGTACCGGTATACAGGAATGAATACACGGCCCGTTACAACGGCTTGTATTCGTAATGATTTGCACGTTTACTTCTTGTAGGCTGTTAAAAGTTTACTTATCTATTGCCTTCTTGCCTCTGTTATTATTTTATTTGTGCAGTATTAATCGTATACGCACTCATGTCAATGTCACCTTTTGTTCGTACTGATGAGCTTGCCTCCCGCAATAACGTTGTTTGATATCTGTAAATTATTTCAGGGGGCTTTAGCGCACAAGAATTATTCGGGAAGTAGGAAGAGGCTTTCTATGTATGTTGCCACTTTTTTCTTTAACGTTTCATATTATTGCATTTTCGAGTTTGAATAAAGAACGAGGTCGGAATATATTAATTAATTACGTAGGCTATTTCAAATTACTTCGACAAGAAAACATTTGATATGTAGGGTTTAACGTCCCAAAACCACCATATGATTATGAAAGACGCCATAGTGGAGGGCTCCGGAAATTTCGGCCACCTGGGGGTCCTTTAACGCGCACCCAAATCTGAGCACACGGGCCTGCAGCATTTTCGCCTCCATCGAAAATACAGCCGCCGCAGCCAGGATTAGATCCCGCGACATGTGGGTTAGCAGTCGAATTCCCTAGCCACAAGAGCACCGCGGCGGGGTGACAAGAAAACATTGCGTCGTTGGTTACCACTGAGCAGTTAACATGAAAGGAAAATTGGCCCCGTATCTGCATGTTACACCGCAAATGTCGTCGAAAGACGATAGTCTTGCGTCTGGAGAGAGTGAGCAAAACGTTTATTTGATGTTCTGCGCAAGAAAATCAGTGAATGGTATTCTGGAGGCGCTGCGTTATAGTGCCTCGAGCGTGCAGCGGAGTCGAACCAGCGCATCAAGTCACGTCACACGTGAGACATGAGCGCTATCTGGCAATTATCCTAAAAAACGGGGCGCGCGCAGTGCACGCCCGTCTCTGAGGTGATAAGGTGTAGAACGCAAGACGGCGGGTAGGTGTCACCACCGTGTCGTCTTAGCAAAGCATTGGAAACACTTGCCGTTTCGTGCATGCGTTGCACGGCCAGCGCAGCGTTATAAAGGCTACGATCCTTAAAATTACTTATGTATGCCTTTTCTAGTAAAAATATACGTGCATAATATTGACGTGTTGTTATGGTGCCTCAGATATGCGCAATAATTGCTTTTTAATTGACAATCGCGCAAGTGTGAACGCTGAACCTTGAGCAATATTGGTGGGAGCTGCGGATGGGGTCGGCCGTTTGGGCTATCGTTTGGTCACTTTGATGCCGTTTAGGGTACCGTTAAGGGTGGACAAACAGGCAAATGTACAAAATATTTTTCGTCGAATGTCCCCAAGAAAGACTATCGTCTTTAAAATTAAGAAACAGAGGGGAAAATGCCGAACAGCATTTTCTAAATTAAGTACCTCAATTTTTTCTCCAGCTTTGTTTGGGAATTTGTTTTTACTTAAAGTTCGCTGGTGCATCTGACGGCAGCGCCAGGGCTGGACAGAGATGTAGTATTCTGTAGTACAGATATCGAAATACATGATGCCTAAAACACAGGTACTGAGAAACACTTGTCTTTGACGTAACGCGACATTTCCGAAATACTTTTTGCAAAAACGACGAAAAAGAATCTAGGAATACAAATACAAGAATGCAAATACTAGAAGTCGTTTGATTTCGGGAATACTGGTTCCCCGCATACATAGAGGCAGGATAAAATGTCGTTGCACCGCATTGAAACTTGCAAATCAAGCGTATCGCTTGGATCAGAAACTAACCCCAGCGGCCGTTACATAGGTGGAAGGGGGGGGGGGGTTGAGTTTGCCCTATGTATTTGCGCCCGCTTATGGATGAGATGGTTGTGAAGTCAAAGTTGCTTAAGCAACAGCAGCTTCTAAGATAGGCTGTCATTTATAAAACGCTTGTTCGGTCTCAACACAAGACTAGCGAAATGACTTTCCGCCCGAGAAAAATAAAAGTGCGCCACCTACCTTGAAAGAAAGTGACTTTCATAGACTGCATCCGCGATTCCTTCATCACAGTGTCGGGTGCTTTACCACAGCGATGCGTTCTGTGAGTGAGGGGGGACCCTTCGCCACATTCCACCTGGCGTGTCTTTGCTTGGCGTAGCCCAAGTCTTCCTTTCCCCCTTAAATACTTTTTCCGATAAAAACAAAAAAGTTTAATTTCAAAAAAAAAACAAGAATAATAACGATCACTCTGCGTGGACAGGCCCCTTTGGTCTTTGTCCCCACAGTGTGGTGCAATGTCCATTAGTTCCCACGCCTGCGTGTTAATTCAAACTCCGCTTAATTTGAACAGTTTAATAGTCACATTCAACTTCGAATTCACGAGCCTATATGCACAAACAAAACTTTCATATTTTTCATTCCTACATGGACTGATTCATTTTCTATTCCTCTACTAATCACGACGGTTTGTGCATGTCCATTGCAACCAACAAACAGCGCGAACCCTTGGACATAGACGGACTGAGGACTCCGTGGACTAAGCGCAGAGATGGCACCACGCTTATTCCGTTTCTGTCCTGTTGTTTGCGATGTTTTGTTTCGATTATGTTCGTCCAATGAATTGTCATGGTCAGTAAGGTATAATAAGGCATATTCAGTACTGCACAGTGGCGTAGTCACGAATTTTTTTTCGGGGGAGGGAGGGGGGCAGGCACCACCTTGATCTAAAGTGGAGGCCGGGCCAGCAGATGCGGTCGAGTGTTATCTTGTGCTCTATATGACACGGCCAAAAAAAAAAAAAGAAGAAGAAAGAGGGGGAGGGGACACGGGCCTGTTGTACTACTTCTTGGCTAAATCACTGGCACTGTACCAGTGGTGGTACGATCGCTGCCTACGACAGCCATGGGCGTACCACATGAGTGCGCATACTCCATTACGTCTACGACTCTACGTAGACAGCTTCTGTTGAGTGTAAAAAAAAAAGTACATACTTAATTGCTTCTGAGCGTTCTATACACGGGGTGAATGTTCTTTGGTAGTGGTGGTCTGTATGTTGCTTTGTTTCGCGTGGTCGATGCCGTGGTTACTGAGTATTTAAATTCCCGTAGGGTTCTAACGGGTAGTCTTTCGTAACGCGCTATCATTAGATGCGAAGCCTGTGTAACGCTGTGTGACGCCTGTGTAGCTGTCCTGTAGCTAGCCTGTGTAACGCTGTCCCTCCGTGCACTACCACTGCGCATGCCCGCGTCTAGGACCGCATGTTCGCGTCTCGTGCCGGCCCAGGAAGACACCCGCAGAACGGTCGCTCCCCTCCCCTCCTCCTTTCGCCTCGCAATGCTAACGCAAGCAAAACCGACTGCTCGCGCTGCACAGCCTGACGTTAGGGAAGCCGAATGACATCGTTTACTCGAGTCACGGCCGCTAGATGAAAAACGTGCATGGGTGTGCGCTTTTTCATCCAGCGGCCGTGACTCGAGTAAACGCTACACAGAGTCTCGCTTCAAACCGTTCTTTCCAGCACCCGCGTCAACGCCCGTTTCAACCGGCTCAATGCCGTGCGCACTGCTGTTGCTTCGCATCCCGTCGGGGTTCCCTTCGGGAAGATGATTCAAGCTTTTTGACTCTCTTAAATAAGAGGTTTATTTCTACTGTTACGTAAAATGAAACTGAGTCGTTACTATTCCCGAGTGTATTCACACTGATCAAGATGGATCACAGCACGTACAGCGGGCAAACCAGTCCTTTTTGTCGCCGCCTTCTGTACGCAGAATGTCTCACCCTTGATGTGCTAGTCAGGTAGCATTAGCTTTGGCTGTTAAAGCGCCATCTCAACTTTTCGCGTTACCGTAGACTGCTCCACCGCTCACTTCCCTCCGCTTCCACCAATCATTCGGTCCACCCGTACCTCAGAACAGTGGCACCCTTCGCGTAGGCGCCCCCGAGGTCTGCCGGGCCCTCATTCTCAGGGCCTGGGCTGTCGCAGAGGTTACCATAGGTGTCCTGGAATAGGGACCCTCCGCGTTTTCCTTGAATTTTCATAATAAAATGTTTTCATCATCGGTGCACTCTATACGTTGTCTTCAGAAGGGGAGGCAGATGTGGTCGCGTCATTTTGTGAAAAAAAAAAAAAAAAATGGGGTAGAGGACACGCACGCGCCTGGTGTGCTACCCCGGGCCTTCTGTACGCCGCTGTTCATTGTGGTTCACTGTTCTCGATGCGTGCTCTTCATTGTTCGCTAAAACCCATAGGCACGGGGAGGGGCACAGAGAGGAGGGGGGGGGGCAGGGCGGTTGCATGCCTACACTGGACACAGCACATCACGCTATTGGTAACAGAAGGGGGTGATGATCACAAAGAAGAAACAGTTAAAATTACGTGATTGAGGACGGAAATGTCCGCCTCAGAAATCAAAGCCTCACGGGCCAAAAATATAGTATCCAAAAATAAATGCAAGGGCTTTGGGAGGCCAAAATATATAGCGAATGGCAACCACCCGTGGTAGACTGCATTCGACACAAATGAGAAAAATGCGCTTCTGGAACTACGCCAATACTGTCATTCGGGCCACACTCGTAAATCAAGAGATAAACCGACTACCTCGCAATGCTTTTCCATTGCTCTTTCGCAATCTTGGCCAGTGCCTTTGACACTATCTCTCACGTGTGAAAGTTTTTTTTCATCGCTCGATACTGACCCATATTACTCATGATACGCGGTATCAGCAACGCCTTGAAAACTGCGGCACGTTACGAAACTTAAGATAACCTCATGCGAAATTTGGCGGCGAACACGGCACCGGCTGGCAACGTTTCAAAACAGCTGTTTCAAAATTGGCATGAAAATAGTAGCAAATCGTGGCTGTAAAAACATGTTCTTTTCTAAAGCAGGGGAAGCGTTTAATTTGTTCCTTCTAGCATTTTTGTGCCCAGCAAACCCATGACGTTCACCGCAGTTCCCGGCGACCTCGCGATGGTGCCGCAGTTGTTCGCCTCCGTACGTTTTCGCTACCGAAACCCATGAGCTTCACTGCACGCACGAAAGACTGCCATGATCATTGTGCCGTCGAGATGCGGCGACGGTCCGAGTTCCTCGCTTTTGCTTGAGAGTACGTACTGTGTGAACTTACACCATGGGTCTTTCTTTTCAGTCCTTATTCAGATTATGCCCTTCGCTTCGCTTGCAAATCGACGGGGACGGTGTATGTGCGTGCACAAAGATCGACTCTTAACAATACTGATGGTTTCTGTCATTAAAGACACGAAAGATAAAGAAGCGACTTAAAAATGCAAGTGAGGCGTGGCTGGTACGACATTGGCAAAGTGGTTTGTGAAAAAGTGTCATTACGTTGTTTTCGTAAGCCAATAACCCAGTGAACACAAGCATCACGCCCCCTAAACAAGTGCATGTTTACCGTGATGCCTCCTGAATCTTGCAATTTTTCCCTCCACCGATGGTACGAAAAATCGCTAGTGGAGTTTCTATTTGCTATGACCCCTGTTACAAGGTTTCTCAGTTCAGCTTTTTGTGTTCGATGATTTCAAACATGGTAACGCGTTTTCGGAAACCAAGGTAGTTATGGCGCTGCTACTGCCCACCCGAAGGTCGCGGGATCGAATCCTGGCCGCGGTGGCCTCCATTTTCGATGAAGGCAGAAACGCTTGAAGCCCGTGTACTCAGATTTGGGTGCACGTTAAAGAACCCCAGGTGGTCAAAACTTCCGGAGCCCTCCACTACGGCGTCTCTCATAATCAAATGGTGGTTTTGGTACGTTAAACCCCACATATAAATTAACGTCAAATGAGCAAATATTTCAAGGCGTCACTTGGCTATGCATTTTACTCATTACTTTCAATTCTCAAAGAATGCAAGCATTTGGCTATCAATGTCAAGAGTTTGCTGTCAATTGCACACACTGCTTTCTTAGTGTATACAACATACAACATTAATTCAGTGTTCCTACCCCGTGTGCCTACTCAGACCTTGGTAAAACAGAGCAAATTTGAGCATCAGACGCGTTATTCAGAAGTCGCAGGTTCGGTACCTACCAGGGGCAAGTTATCTTTTCTTTCATTTTTTCTTTCTTCACATTTACATTCCACTCACTACTAATCACACCTCCTATGCTTTCCTTGCCATCATTGTCTGTTAGTTCTCATTACTTTGTAAATGTCATCTTTCAACATGTCCTTTTTTTATGTTAGGCAAGAACTCTTGTTATCCTTGGTGGGCTGATGGTTCGTGGATGGCACGAGTACTGTTCCCTATCCTGTCTTCACCTGTTGAAACCGTAATTCTCTTGGGCATGGACATTATCTTGGCATTCAGTGCATAAAAGAAGCTTTGTTGCACTTTTGTGTTGAAATCTATGGCCTGAGCATTTTCTCTTTTTGTGGTGGCTGTTGTGAAGCCACTGTCCTGACGTCTGTAGCTTCACGACCGACTGATAGTGACGCAAGTGGATAAGGTAGCTGATAAAGCGTCTGCTAGCTCACACAGGCCTTCCTGCTCATCACTCCCAAGTTGCAGCAGGCAGGGGAGGTGGGAACGCTTGATGTGAAGGTGAAAAATGCTCAACGGTCAGTATGTCAGGGTTAGTTCGACCGAGAAAGTACCAGGTACGAACACATCCTCTCTTCCTCTTGTTCCTGTTTCATGTGCTCCTGGCTACTTATAGTGGCATTTACGCTGTTACCATATGTTATCTTGCTAAGAATAGAGATAAGTGTGGGCGCTGTGTACAATGTGGCTGATAACTTGACAGAACCTGACTGGTGTTGTGATAAATTAAGCCCTCTGCTGGACAGAGTGCTGTCACTGAATTGCCCAATGTAAAGTTACACGTTCCACTTTCATCACTCTATTATTCATGGTAGCTAGTCGCAATCTATATAGGCTGCGGTGGCTGCATTTCCGATGGAGGCGAAATGTTGTAGGCCCGTGTGCTCAGATTTGGGTGCACGTTAAAGAACCCCAGGTGGTCGAAACTTCTGCAGCCCTCCTTTAGGGCGTCTCTCATAATCATAAGGTGGTTTTGGGACGTTAAACCCCACATATCAATCAATCAATCAAGCAATCTATATATGCTGGTATCTCAAGGAGCCACCACGAGTACCGCACATATCATGTGCATTCCATCTCTTGTTTCTGTTGGAATGCCTGCCCTGACCTTCAGAATTTCCACGCACTGCATATGCAATTTTTTATTCCTCTTTCAAGTGTCTTCATGTTTTCATGACAGTGAAGTGTAGTGGAATCACTGTCCATCTGGGAAGTCTTTCCCATTTTTAAGAAGGCTGTTAGTCTATCGACATTCTACTTCATCTCTACAATGCAACTATTCCTCACCTCATATACTATTTCCATAATTATCATAATTATAGTACTTGGATTCTTGACTAAACTCATTTTTAAATATCTTGGCCTTTATTAATAACATCTACTTCTTGATCGTTACTGATCATAGCTTCATAAGTGGATCATCGTAATTGTGGTGCCAAGTTTTCATACATCGAATGTTCATTTCTTGGTTCGGAGTTTCTGTTGTACTCGCTGACTTAAAATTTATAATCTACGCCAAGGTATGCTGTCTATGCTCTGTTCTAGCTTGTTTTCAGAAATGAGCATCATGTACAAGCATGAAAATGGGCTCAAACTAAGGATGGTGTTACTGAAAGCAATTCTCATCCCTTTAAACTCCAAAGCTTTGTTAGTCTTTCATGCGGTCAGCTTAATCTGAAATATTAGTTTTTCGTAAGTGCTAATGCCTCAAAATTTCCTTGAATCTGTGGTACTTGGCAAACAGCTACTGCATCACAATTCATATTTAAAGGCTGCGGTCTTCTCTGTTTTGGCAGACTGAAGCACGTTGCTTACAACTTATCTCAGGGCTTTGAAAATATTGGAGCTAGTGGAAATAGTGAAATAACTTTGTGAAGTTGTCTGATTGCACGTGGTTTAGTAAAAATTTCTACTTTACCCTCATAGGTGGCTTATGAGTGATGGCAAAACCCAACAGTTGTTTGCTGAAACTTTAATACTTTAGCGAAAGTTTTCTGTAAAGTTCATAGTATAGAGTACTAAGGGTCGGTATTCAAACCACTATCATCAACTCTCTTCTAACAAATAAAAATTCTAGTAGTAAAGCAACAGGAAGGGGAACATGCAAGCTTGCAAGGAAAAATCCCTAAACGGGGCTGTCTGCTTGAGCTGACGTTTTGACGTCTTCTTCAAGGCTAGCCTTAAAGAGGACAAGTCCAAGTGACTTGTCCAAGAACTAGTCCAAGACAAGTCCAAGTCGCTTGTCAAAGAACTTGTCCAAGTGGATTTGGTCACCATCATCATCATCATCATCTTCAGCCTGACTACTTCCACTGCAGGACAAAGGCCTCTCTCATGTTCCGCCAGTTAACCCAGTCCTGTGCTTGCTGCCGCCAATTTATACCTGCAAACTTTTTAATCTTATCTACTAACCTAACCCGCTTGCCTTCTCTGGGAATCCAGTCAGTTACCCTTAATGACCAGCGGTTATCCTGTCTACGTGCTGCATGCCCGGCCCATGTCCATTTCCTCTTCTTGATTTCAACTATGATATTCTTAACCCCCGTTTGTTCCCCAATCCCCTCTGTTCTCTTCTTGTCTCTTAAGGTTACACCTACCATTTTTCTTTCCATTGCTCGCTGCGTCGTCCTCAATTTAAGCTGAACCCTCTTTGTAAGCCTGCAGGTTTCTGCTCCGTAGATAAGTACTGGTAAGATACAGCTGTTATATATCTTCCTCTTGAGGGATAGTGGCAATCTACCTGTCATAATTTCGCCCCGCCGCGGTGGTCTAGTGGCTAAGGTACTCGGCTGCTGACCCGCAGGGCGCGGGTTCGAATCCCGGCTGCCGCGGCTGCATTTCCGATGGAGGCGGAAATGTTGTAGGCCCGTGTACTCAGCTTTGGGTGCACGTTAAAAAATCACAGGTGGTCGAAATTTCCGGAGCCCTCCACTACGGCGTCTCTCATAATCATATGGTGGTTTTGGGACATTAAACCCGACAAATCAATTACCTGTCATAATTTGAGAGTGCTTGCCAAATGTGCTCCACCCCATTCTTATTCATATAGATACTTCAATCTCGTGGTTTGGCTCTGCGGTTACTACCTGCCATAAGTAAACAGTCTTTTACAACTTGAAGTGCACTATTACCTATCTCAAAGCGCTGCTCTCTTCCGAGGGTGTTGTACATTACTTTCGTTTTCTGTAGATTAATTTTAAGACCCACCTTTCTGCTCTCCTTGTCTAACTCCATAATCATGAGTTGCAATTCGTCCCCTGAGGTACTTAGCAATGCAATGTCATCGGCGAAACGCAGGTTACTAAGGTACTCTTCATTAACTCGTATCCCTAACTGTTCCCATTCTAGGCTTCTGAAAACCTTCTGTAAGCACGCGGTAAATAGCATTGGGGAGATTGTGTCCCCCTGCCTTACATCCTTCTTGATTGGTATTCTATTGCTTTCTTACCTGCATATGCCCTCATACTGAGCACCAATAGTTCCTGCAGTTTCAGCAAGTCAAAGGAATGGTTAAAAGAACCTGTTACACACAATCTACTTCTTATACGTCTTACTGTTGCTCTGTTTGCACTACTTTGCATTTTAAAAACATTTTCTGCTTGCAGCAATGTTCTGTATAAAGGTGCATCCCATTTCCCAAGAGAATTTGCACTTGTTCTGGAACAAAAAAGACCCAAATTGCATACAGAGCCCTTACTATATCTCATAATATAGGTTAATACTATCTGATGTAGTCTGATAAAAGATACAGGGTTTTATTGCCTCGCAATAAATTAGGCTTGTGCAAGTATTTCAGACTTCTGAATGCAAATGTAATATTTTTTTATTTAGTCATCTAATCTGATAATTATAAATTGCAAGTGCTATATTCATAAAACTGTATTGAAATAACCCACTTTGCCAACTGTGCATGGTTAGAAGGGAAGGTGAAACTTTATTGAGATGACCTGTATCCACCTATGTTATAAAGATTCCCTGCTTATTTGCTTATGATGCTCAGTTAGAATTTTTAGGTAATCATCTTTTGTAAGTTACAAAACTAGCTAGTTTTGTATTGTAATTAGTTGTAACTGTGTTGGGTTTGAAAAGAGTTTTGAAAAAACATCTTTGCCATTCATTCCATCTGAGTTGCTTTTGGCAACTTAGATTCATATTTTGTTTGGTCTGTGAAACTGATGATTGTTAACCCCCACAACAATTTTTTTCTAACAACATAATAGTTGTAAAGAGGGCTTTTAAAAAAGGACGTTTTTAGGATGTATTTGTCTCTGCATGCTATAGAGCTGACATAGGTAATTGATCAAAAAACTTCATTTCAGCCCAAGTTTTCCTCTGCGAACTATAGTGAGGCGAACGCGGTATTTTGCATTAAAATATAACGTTGCACTTGCACTCAAGCTGACCTTCTGATCCCATGCATTTGCTTTGAGTTCACTCCTGCCACATGGAAGAAAGTGAACGCAGCAAATGAAACTTCCTTCCGCATTGTGTACAGCAACAGGAGCTCGAGCTACAGCAGCCATTGTCCTTTCTGGTGTGGCTTATCTCTCGTATGATTCCCCAATGCCAATACTGCACCTTTGCGGCACAGATAGGCTATCTCGAACAGGTTGGAAGGTTGCCTATGTCTCTATCACCTCGTCTCCGTCTATCGTCTGCCTCTGCCTGATAGGGGCTGTTGTCTCTTCCGAATTCATTCCTGACGTGCTCCTGTTTCTGGTAAGGTTGGCTTGCTCCGTGTGATGCTCGACGGCGACGTGTGGCAGGAGTGTGAGCGATGCTCCCTTGCGTGACATCGCAGGAAGTGGTGTGGCACAAGAAAGGTCATTGCCCTTTTCCTGGTATTTGAGTTTTTATTGGCTATACAGCCAGGGACGGGCTCCATTAAGGGGGACGAGCAGGTTTATCCTGCTGCCAGGCATCTATGAACGCTGTAACAGGTAATTGTGAAAAATGTTTTTCGTTGAGATTGTTGTCAAATGAATAGAGTAGCACATTTCTAAACGGTACAACATAGCCATGGAATAGCTAGAAATATTTGTAGCCCTTGATATGGAAATGACAGCTTAGTAGGTCGATGTTGTCGAGTGTCGTCGTATGCTAGGTAATGTATAAGTTACAGAAACTCCCGTCTGTACTCGTGCCTCGTTTGGCAACACCTGATCGGGTTTGTGGGAGAAAGCATAAACCTTTTGTATAAGGCTTCGATTGCTAACTGTATACATCAACAGTAAGTGGTTGATCTTAGTATTCCTGCTCTGTTTGAATATTTAATTACTGTATATGTACAGTCCTTGTCAAAAGTTTGTAGGCCACACTTCCATATAAACATGGGATAGTGGCCTGGGAACTTTTGACTCTTCCTGCACATAAATAAATGGAAGAGTAGCATCACTTGACAACACGCTTAGGTGGTGGCAGTTGTTCAGATGATTGGGGTAGATGCAGTCTTCTGTCGGCTGACAGATCTGTCATCTTAAGATGGCGGTTGACATAAGGTTTTCTCTGAAGTGCTTTGCTACTGGATACCCGATTCTTTTCCAGTTGTAGCAGATAGGATAACGAAGGTTCACAATGTCTGCAGGTGACTGCCTGAACGATGACTCCGGGGAACCCGATGATACGCCGGAGCCACCTCGGAGCGGCTTCGAGCGACTGTGCCGCGGAGCCCGCAACCAGTGTTGTTCGGTGCAGCGCTGGAAGAACCGCATTCCCATCACCAAGTGGCTACCACACTACTCCCTGCTGGACCTGCACGGGGACTTTGTGGCCGGCATGACGGTTGCCCTCACGGTCATCCCTCAGGGACTGGCTCTGGCCGTCCTTGCCGGGCTGCCTCCTCAGGTTGGTCCTTTGTAGTTCACATTATCACTGTTTCGTTTCATTTTAAGAGCATAGCACTTTAGGGGGTTAGGGGGATGCGCTGATGCAGGCAAAACCACATACAGTATAGCCAGCTGCAGCATATTGAGCACGCGCTCATGCCAAGGCGGGGCCTTCCTCCTCTTGTCCTTCGAGCTCCTTGATGGTGATATGTGCTGTCATTACTGCTGTGGCTAGGGAAAAGAGACGACACGAACCACCTATGAAAGTTGAAAGAGGATGCAAGCGAGAAATATAGAAGCATAGAAAGAAAAACAGAAATAAATAGAAATCAAGAGAGGAAAAATGCATAAAATGTTGGAGCAAGAAAGAGCGAAGGAAAAAAGAAAACCCAAGAGAAATGAAGAAGGCTAACCAGCTACGCACTTCCTTCAATCTTGGCACCATTATCGCAAAGCTGCCTTTTTGTTTGTTCTTTTTTTATTTTCCCGTACAGTTTTTTTTTCCGTTTGTTTATTGATTCATTGCATACCCTCAATACAGAATACTGTTTGGACGCGTTGCCTCGGTGGCTGGTTTGGAGCCCAAGAACGAAATGTAGTCCAAAAAAGAACAGTGTTGGACCCGTAGCCTCGGTGGCTGGTTTGGAGCCCAAGAACGAAATATAGTCTAAAAAAGAACAGTGTATCTACTGTATGAGACAACTAAAACACACGTTAATAGAACATTTTTGCTGGGAAAATGTATCAACAAAAGGCTCTATTATCACCATGAGGACACGAATAGGAGCACTTTCTCACCATTAATCAAGAAAGTTTTTTAAGCAATACATAAAGCTTTGGCTAGTATTTACACTGTGATGAAATTGTGTTCCGTATTGTAGCACCATTGAATGCCATGTGTCTCTGTCCATGTGTACATTGTGACATCGTGGAAGTTTAATACAGTCGTTGGTTGCTTCCCTTGTGTTTTATGCCAGAAAATTAAATGGGATGGCTAGCAGGTTATTAAACATATTATTGCATAAATTGCCTGAGCAACTTTAACCTTAGGTGCCTCACTGAATGGAAGGTTGTCAAGCATTTTAAAGAGAGGTTTATTGTATCAATATTTTTAGAAGAGGTAACTGTTCTTAGTGCCTCCCTTGGAAGATTTCCATTCTTAAAGCAAAGCTTTCTTTGTTTAGTAGGCCATGCAGTAAGGCATCAGTCAAAAACTGAGTGTTGAGAAGGGTAGTCTGTCATGACAGAGGAGTAAACTCTTGTGGTTTGCCACTGTTAAGAATATGGTTTCTTGCTGATCTATGTTTATGATGCATACAAGTCCAGTTTGCCTCATTACTGCGCTGCTTTCATACAAATAGCTCTGTGTTGTTATATTTAATGTTGTGTGAGCAAGTAAAAAAAAAAAGAAAAATTGTTCTTCACCTGCAGTATGGCCTATACACAGCATTCATGGGCAGCTTCATGTACACCATATTTGGTAGCTGCAAGGATCTCACCATTGGTCCTACAGCCATCATGTCCATCATGACCGGCGAGTATACGCACGTCGGTGGACCAACATTTGCCATCATCCTCACATTCCTCTCGGGCATTATCCAGATTGTCATGGGCTTGCTCAACCTAGGTGAGTCCCGCTTTCATGTAGCATTCGTCTATCATTTAAAGGGCTACTTTGTGAAAGCTTTCGGGCTGCATTGGTGTTCAAAGATCCTTGCCATTATTTTCGTGTTTATGTCCACAGCAGCACAAAGGCCTCTTGCAGTCATCCCCCTACCTTGTCCTGAAAGAGCTGATTCCTTGTGAATAAGAAGCTTTGTGTTCTAAATGAAAGAGCAAATAGCTAGAAAAAAAGTGCTGACATTGAGAATCCCCAAACAGTTGAATAATGTGACGCTTGTTTCTATTACTGGACCACTTTCCGTTTTGGTGCACAACAGGCAAGTACACTTTGTGATGCTGCGGCTCATTTTGTTTTCGTGGTTGTTATTGGTGCCTCTTGAAGGTGCACCTGCAAGAAACACTTCATCCAAACTATGTTTCAATGTCAGCAGTGTCAGCATACGTAGCCTCACTCCTGACGCTGCGATGCCAGGTCCAGTGACAAACTTTGATATGGAATTGAAAAAACTTGGGGCACACTTCACCTTTGAGAGTTGAACACGGCTGCGTGATCTGGCCCCATGCACATTTCTTTCAACCATGCTGCAAGGAAAGGAACATTTGTGTGCATAACACTGGCCATTTACAAGTATCTTGAAATGTCTACTGTACGTACAGTTGCCAAGTCTACAGCATAGTTGTCCGGTTTACCAATTGGCCAAGTACCCGCCACTCATCTGTAAGCTGCCGTGTGCACTTGCGCAGCTGCACTCTTGGTAACAGGTGGGCAGCATAAAACTATCCACATGCTGCATAAATCGCTTGTTTTGATCACTGGTGCAATTTAAGAATTCTGCCATGCAATATTACATGCACTATGGAAACTTCTCCCGCTGCATGACACTCCGGTAGTTTTTTTTTTTTTTTAAAGCAGTTTCAAGCAATAGTGTGCCTCTCTAGTAGAACACTTTCTTCCCATGCTGATGACCTGGGTTTGATTTTCACTTCGACCGAAAATTGTTATTTATTTTATTCGCAATCTTTTGATTTTTCGTCATGGACAAGATGATTTTTCGATTGGTCATGGACAAGATGATTTTTCGCTCACAACCAACAATGCTGACACCGGCGCCGACAGCGACTTCGATTCTGGAATTTCTGCAGAACGAGCTCTTTTATGCTGTTGGGTTAATAACATAAAAAAATTCCACTTGCAGTGTGCCATTCTGTAACATGCTAGATGCATATTGTAGAGTGACCACAGCATTGAAAACATCCTCACTGGTCTAAGCACATGGCTGCACCCTGTGTTGTCAGAGGGAGCAACTTTAGAAACTGTAATCGGGATGCTGCTGCTACTCGTCCTGGCATTGTTTAGAAAACAAGAAACGCTCTGCATTGACATTTGCTTATGGAATTGTTTGTTTATGCAGGTTTCATAGTGGAGTTCATATCTGGTCCTGTAATCAGTGGATTCACATCAGCAGCTGCCATCACCATTGCAAGTACACAGCTCAAGGTAAGCCTACACTGTGCGGAGTGAGAGTACTTTGTGACGTATAACAAGACCTCTTGGCAATCGGGGGGGCTGAACTGGGATGCCAACAGATGTGCCATGGTGGCCTATGGTGCTCGATTGCTGATCCACGTGTTTCGGGAATTAATTCCTGCCGTGGTGGTTGCATTTTCGATTGAGGTGAAAATGCTTGAGGCTTGTATGCTTAGATTTAGGTGCACGTTAAGGAACCCCAGCTCGAAATTTCTGGAGCCTGCAACTACGCAGTCTCTCATGACCATATTGTGGTTTTGAGGCACTAAGCCCCACAAATTAGTATGACAACTGTAATGCCAACATGCTGCGACAGAAATATGTTGGCATATGAGATGAAATATGGGAGCATGGGCTGAACTTCGCTTTTCACGACAAAGATCTCCATCCCACAAAAAGCATGTGATCATAGCGATCATGTCGTAGTTTTGTCATAGGTTTCTAGTTTTCATGGTCATTCACCAATTGCAAAGCAAGTTTTATTAGTAAGTGATATTGGAGAAACACTTTGAAACATAGTTACACGGAGCTATCTTTCCTGACTGTAACATGGCTCAGAGGGCTATACGCACTGTCATGATGCCTGCCACCTTTTTTCTCCTTGTCCAAAAACATAATACAGACGTAATACTTTTCCTGTGTTTTGTGCATTTCATATCATCACCAGTGCAGTTTATTTTTATTTCCAAGCAAATCATGCAGAGACTGCTATGATGTTCAGGCCATAACTGTACAGTTTTCAACAACATAATACAGACGTAATACTTTTCCTGTGTTTTGTGCATTTCTTATCTTTACCAATGCAGTTTATTTTTATTTCCAAGCAAATCATGCAGAGACTGCTATGATGTTCAGGCCACAACTGTACAGTTTTCTGCTTTCTTTTTGTCTTATTATTGGCTTGTGGATTGTTGCTTCTCTGCACACATGCATCGATTACACTCTGTGAAAGACGAGGAATGAAAAGAACGCATCAGCACTCATTTAGAGGTCTGAGAGGGGCTGCTTTTTTTTCATTCCATCGCCATGTAGGATTTTGTAGAATTGCATTTTCCAGTATTGCCATGACGGTAAAACATCATGCGAATGCAGTAGCGGTAGATTGTCTAGTCACATGTCTTGGTGGCTGCTGTTTATTAGACAGGAGAATATGCAGTTGTTCTTTGATTTTAATCTAGTTTTACATAGTTACTCTAGGATAGAAATATATTGTCACAACGTCAAAACAGAGGTCTTGCCGTAGAGACTGAGACACCAGAAGCAGGTCGATCTTTTTAATTAGAACGCGCAAGCGAGTTCTTCTTCTTCGTCCATTTCGTAGTCCTTCGTGGCACATGCACAACTGTCATCGTCTTTCTTGGGCAAGCACGTGACATTTGCCTCCCTCCGAAAGAAGCATCGTCCCGATGCGTACACTTGGTCCACATTGGTCCACTTATAGTACACTTGGTCCACATTATGGAACATTCTGTGGTCTACTAAAACTGGGATATCGCATGAAAATCTGCAGTCTTAGTTTTCGATGTGCACGTTCACTTGACTGTATCAGCCACTTATTTCAAGCAAGGGAGAAGAAATGTCACAGTATTTTTTAATGGAGTAGCTTTGCCTTTTGAAACTGTATTTCACACGCTGATAAGTGATGGTGGTGATAAGTGATGATAAGTGATGATAAGGCTCGGTGGTGTGAAATTAAGACTAAGGTTTGCCACAAACATTTGGGATGATGCTTTTTTCCTCATTGACTCTTGCTTCTTTTCAGTCTCTATTTGGGATGAAATTTGAGGCTGAAGAGTTTCTCGACACAATGTACCAGTTCTTCACGCATCTTCACACCATAAGGTGAGTGCCAACTTTATACACAGACAGCACAATTTCTTGTCAGATTTATCGTCGCATGTCGGATTTCTATAAATGTCGGATTTCTTGTCTGATCCTAGGTTGGCAGATTCCTTGCTGGGTGTCTCGTGTGTAATTCTGCTGCTCCTCATCAGGGTAAGTACACTGCCTGCATCGAACTAATGAATCACTTTGAATAAGACCCCGTATAAAAACTGAAAAAAAAAAAGGAAGCAAGTGAAAAATAAAAATAGAGAAAAGGAATAAAATGAAAGGAAAATAGAAATAAATTGAAGCAAAGAGGACAAAGACAGAAAAACTAGAAAAGAGAAGAAGAAAAAAAAGAAGAAAAGAACGAGGCGAGCTGCTGGCAAGCGGAAACCAAATAACTTTATTTGTATCCCCAAAGTTCCTTTTAAAAGCTCGGTGGGCTGTAGCGCCTCCCTATGGCCACACGCTTTGAGGCACATGCTTCGAGGCCAGATGCCACCAGTGTGAAACTGCCTTAATTTTGGGGGGGCTCTCGCACGACTCTGACGTGGAAGCTTTGAGCACAATCCTCACTAAAGCCATGTTCACATGAGACCTCTGTCAGCTTCTGTCGAAGTTTTCGCCAGCATGCATCTTTTTACATCTGGAAATTGAAAAATGGGCCAGGAAGGTGCATTATGAGATTACGTATCTTGAGAAACACAATTGAAATGTGGGACATCTAATGGTAAGACTCCCACGGGAACGTATCTCTGCTCGTGCAGCATTTCAAGGACCGGAAGTTCGGCCCAGATTCCAGGCTCCCATCTCGGGCACAAAAGATTCTCGAGGGCATCTGGTGGACCTTTGCAACAGGTAATGTGCTTGAAGCTTGTACCCATTCTACTTTTGGCATAGCTTTTAAAAAAAAAAACACCACAGATCAAGCTCCTGTAAGGATGCTGTACTATTGCATCTCGTGTGGTTCAGATGCTAGACATCACTTGGTGTCTATCAGCTATGGCTCACTTGTACTTTTCACATAGAATGAAATCTAGTACAACAAGATAATACAGTCGAATTTCTTCATACAAGGCACTGATGTAAGAGGCAAACGAGTTTAAAAAAACACTAAAGTAAAACAATGACTTGGTTTGGATTAATAAACTGCACTCTGAGAAATCTCAATGTGACATCATCATAAGTTCATTATAGGAGGAGAAAATCAAGCTTGATGTTTCATTTTAAAGTTTAGCACCAAAATCTCCGTGCATGATGTCGGAAATTTCAAAACGTCTTCTCGCATTTTCGGATCATTGTACCGACGAAATTTTCTGAAACTTCGTATGTTAGGTCTGTGGCAACCACTGATGATAATGAACTTCGTTTTTACCAGTGGCGGATCCAGAGGAGGGCTGTAGGGGCGTTAGCCTCCTTCTGCCCCCCCCCCCTAAGGTCTGTGTCAGCCCCCCTCACTTCAGTACCTCACTCAGCACTAAATAAAGCACAACAATTAACGCTTCGACTGCTGCAAACGCACAGTTACCCCAGCCCCTATATCTGCAGCAAATACCTACCAGATATAAGGCCAGAATGCCCCAAATGCCAAAATTCAAGGTGCGATTTAAGTCACATGCTGTGGCAGTGTCCCGTGCTAAACGCTAGCTTCGGGTCCCCTGCCACCGAGGACGACTGGATCAACCACCTCAGGAGCCCCGACAGGGCCCTTCAACACCAGGCCGTCCAGAAGGCCCAAAAGGTGGCTGGCGAGCTCCGACTCCCAGTCCCCACATGGGCGGAGCCACCGGGCTGGCCCCCATAAGGGGTGCCCAGTCCCCTTCAGGACCTTTATTAAAGTTAATTCTCTCTCTCAGTGCTTCCCATTGCCAATTAGGACAAATGAGTAAAAGCACTGTGAGCACGTACACCTTAACAGTAAATATGCTATAAAGGGGTTTTTACGCAAGTAAAAACAAGAAGTCTTGACCACACCCCCCTCTTAGGTGTTACCATATCAACCGCCTCCCCTAAAGTGAGTGGTTTTTATCCATCGAGAACTCGAGGTGGCGTCTCTACCCGTATTTTCATGTTACCAAGCGTCGTGTCGTGGTAAGAGTGGTGTTTTCGAGTTGGAGAATTGTACTTTATGAATACACAAAAAAATAGTTTTTTTTTCTTATGTGTTTTTTGTGCCTATATTGAAAGTAGGTGCTTATCAGAAAGTGCGAACGTTGTACCCTGCTTACGGGAGACACCTCGTGTAAGGGGCAAGAAATGCTCACCTGGGCATGGCTCTCATAAAGGAGCTCAACTATAATTTACTGGAACTGTTTGGTAATGGACAAGCACAAAATAAGAGGTCTCAGCACATCTCTAAGCAACCTTCATTCGGGCACCACAATTTCACTAGTTTGTGTGGCTGCACAACTATAAAAATATGCATAGAAAATGACCGAATGTACCAAATCATAAAATGTTTCAAATACTGTATCAGGTGAAAAATATGCATTTTGTGCTGTATGCTCTTCAATCTGTTGTCTATGCTATTGTGCCATAGCCCCTTCAGGTGCAAATTATGGTGGACTGTTTCCATGCGTGTCATATTCACATACCATAATTCTAAGGTACTGAATATTACATGCCAAGAAAAAAATGAATCAATTTGTTGTTTTGTGTGAGCAGTTAGTAATAATTGCAATGTAATTAAGTCCTTCATTATTCTGCCGTCAGTCACGTTCCATATTGACACATAAAGAATGAAGTCATGTACTCCAAATGTGTGTGCAACAAGTTTTTGGTTGCATTCATTTCGAAAAAAAAAAAAGGTAATGTACTTTTGACGTTGGTTCTGGAACCGTCGAACATCGTAGCAGAAGGTTCAAATCATATATAATGAGCAGCTTATAATTTTGCTCTTTTTTGGTCACAAGTTAAAACAACTAGCATAAACAATTTGTACACAAAAGTAGCCACTGCCGCTGAAGAGAATAACGTCCATAAACCAACTAGTTTGCCAGTACGATGTTCCCAGCACACCAGTACAATGTTCACCAGTACAAGGTTAACCGCTACGATGTTCCGTGCACATGAGAAGCAATAGAGTGAGAGCACTTTGTCTCTTTCAGCGCGCAATGCCATTGCTGTCCTGGTTTGTGCTGTGGTCGCAGCCATCTTGCTGAACAACAACATGCAGCCCTTTGCCCTTACGGATGAGGTGAAAGGCGGCATGCCCCCTTTCCAGGTGCCAAACTTCACGGCAGACATCTTCGACACGAGCAACAACAAGACCATCCACATGAACTTCGTCGACATTATGAGGGTCAGTCATAGTGTTTGCACTGACTCTAACACTAATGCTAGTTTGTTCAGTTGTCTTTCAAGATTTTGTTTGTAACCTTCAGTTTCTCCACTTTGACACATCACATTAATACTCTGTACAGTTCTTCCGCATAATTTCAGATACACAGCAAGCTCCCGATAACTTAAATTCAAGAATAACCTCAGTATGCCGTTTGGATTATCAGAAGTTCTGATAAATATGACTTGGGGCGAGATAATGACTAGCGTTTTAAGTCCTTCATTATTCTGCCGTCAGTCACGTTCTATATTGACACATAAAGAATGAAGTCATGTACTCCAAATGTGTGTGCAACGAGTTTTTGGTTGCATTCATTTCGGAAAAAAAAAAAGGTAATGTACTTTTGACGTTGGTTCTGGAACCGTCGAACATCGTAGCAGAAGGTTCTGCTGATGCAGCAACACCATAGAGAGTTCCATATCACTTTCAGTGAAGTTTTTGGACATTATAGATTATATTGATGCTCATTGCAACATGGGCATGCGTGTGCACTTAAGAAAAGAAAATTTATGTCCCATGACAGCTGGTAGCTCCTTTCCAATCCTGCAATGCTTTCTCTTAGGACAGTACAGTAGACTCTCAGTAAATGGAAATCTGTTAAATGAAACTACTGCTTAAACGGAACTATTGCCTCTGCAATGCTTGGCTTCGGGCTTGTATTTTGCACCAATGTTCACTTTTTGAGTAAACAGAATTTCTGTTAATTGAACCGATTTTCGGGCTCTCTTCAGTTTCTGTTTACTGAGAGTCTACTGTATTTTACTACAGCAAAAGTGACTTTAAAAGAGTATTCACATGGGGTATAAATTTTGCGGGCAGAAGGAAGGGTTGTGGATCACCGGACAACGATCTCACAGATTAACGAGCAGGCGTGAACTCCCCGTGCCTCCTCAAGGAAGATGGGATCCTTTTGACTAAAAGGCCAAACTATCCCTTCTTGGTGGGGAATACAGCGAAATCTCGGGCAAGTGTTTGGCCACATTGTTGCATTTTCTTCCGCACGGAGTGGCAGCACGCTGATGGTTGCGTCATCAGCAGGTGCTGAAACAGGTGGTACAAGCCACAGAGTGTGGTCTGGTAACACTAGTCTCCCCATTCATTCTCCTCATTCCTGTGAAGGGGGATATGTGTGGGGAATTTTTTTTGCGAGCTGACATCACTAGATTTTGCCTTTATTTTCCAGGATTTGCAATCATGTGAATACCTCATAAGAAATGAATGACTGTGTATTATTGATGTTGCTTTGCATAGTATAAGGCCTGCTGTTAAAGTGACTCCAAAACTAAATGCCTTGAGAGTGATACGATCTTTCTTGAAAACATTGTTGTCATTATTTTTGTCATAATTATTAGAAGAGAAAATGGAGGTCAAAGTTGTATTTCTGACATTTGTGCTAAAACCCCAGTACCTAAATATCAGTGAGACGTTAATGATTTTAAAGCCTTTGTTTTAGCATTCTGGCCTTGTTGACTCCGTAAAATTTTTTGAAACTTCCTATGCCAAGTTTGTAGTTCCCAGTTCTCGGCTGTCGACCTGAAAGACATGGGTTCGATCCCAGCCACATTTGGATAAAATGAAATGCTAGAGGCCGGTGTGCTACGCGATGTCATTGCGCCTGAAAGAATCCCAGAGTATTGATTCTGCTCACTGTTCTGTACTGCACGTCGGCTGTACTCTCGTTTTGTCGTATCGTACAGTACCGCACCTCGCCACTCTTGCGCATTGTGGATACTGATCTCGGTTCCTTCTTTTACAGACACTTGGTGCAGGAATTCCTATCATAGCCCTGCTGTCAATTCTCGAATCTGTCGCCATTGCAAAGGCATTCGGTAAGGGATTATTCAGGTTGTCGAAACGCACTTGCACTGAGTATTGTTGATTGTCAAAAATTTTGCCAAGGGTGTGAGACTTTTCAGATGTTGAAAGCCTGAGCCAATTATTTTTATTTTTTTTTCAGCTAAAGGCAAGAGTCTCGACTCAACCCAGGAGATGCTTGCGATTGGTATGTGCACATTTTATATGGGGAAATGAAAATTACGAGGGATTTCGCAAAGGAATTCAGGGCAAATTACCCAAAGAAATATTGAAATATACAGCTTAATTCGGGCAATGTCAACTCAAAGAAAATTGCCTGGTAAGCTAAAAGACAGTGTCTTTCTGAAGGTTATCTTAAAGATGTTGGGTTTGTTTGGAGCATGGAGCACAGTCTCACCACAAGCTAGAGGGGGCTCCCTTATAAGGAACCTTTGTAAACTTTTTTAAGGCACTTGCTGTGAGTAATGAGTGATCGTTTAACGTGTGACATTGATTGTTAGGTGTGTTTGTGATTCGAAAGTTCTGTTCTAAAGAATCTCCCCTCCCTCCACAATTCGCGTAAAGCGCTGGTTGACCGTACTTGTGCACTGCATACTTCAGGAACCATGTGTCATAAGCAATGTGTTTACGCAAACAAGCTACCAGATCTGGAAAAGCGTGTTTTATTATCTGCAAAACAACAACAACAACAACAACAACAACAACAAAGAGACAAAACAACAATGCCAGTCTGTGAAGTGGCCATCGGTACACCGGCTTTAAGGCTTAGCCTGAATGTTTGAATAACCTGTGTCCGAACGAAGCGACACTTAATACGCATATCAAAGTGCATATTGCGTGTTTTGATTGCAAAATAAGTGTGTATACAAACTGTGCCATATTAATGCCTACACACAATGAGTCGCAAACAAAGCAACCCATGCATCCGTTCATGCCATATAAACAGCAATTGTGATCGTCCCTCTTTCAGCATGCAGAATCGCCAAATTGATTCCTGCATGCATGCTACAAACTGCACTTTTCTATTTTCTAGTGGATACAATGTATGAATTACCAACGCTACGGCAAGTTTTTAGAGCCGCTGAGGCATTTATTTCTCATTACTCATTACTTGATGTTCATATTTGACATGTGAACTGCATTTCCGATGGAGGCGGAAATGTTGTAGGCCCGTGTACTCAGATTTGGGTGCACGTTAAAGAACCCCAGGTGGTCTAAATTTTCGGAGCCCTCCACTACGGCGTCTCTCATAATCATATAGTGGTTTTGGGACGTTAAACCCCACATATCAATCAATATTTGACATGTGAAGGCTTCGTTAAGTGCATTTCGAAATGCAATGCAACTTCCTTTGAACAACTCGGTTAGGTACCAGCCGAGGTAAAATTGCAAAGTGACTCAGTTTAAGGTTGTCTGAGCGTCCAGAATGAAACTGAGTCACTCTGTCACTGAGTCACTTTGTGGAATCTCTGGGTTTCACAGAACCCAGTTTGACAACCCGAACCAGAGGTTGTAGACAGATTTCAAATTATAGTTTAGTTTTCCTGCTGGATTATGAAATTGCTTTGCTTATCGAGAATGTTTCCACAAAAATTGTTATTCGAAGCCGAGCAGTCGTTGGGCATCAAGTGAAGGTTGTTATATATCTGATGCGTGATAATATTTATGGTGGTAGTTTTGTATTATCTTGTAGTTCTCTCAGGGCCATGACAAGAAAGTTGTTTCTTCCCCACAGGTATTTGTAATCTGATGGGGTCCTTCGTGAGTGCATACCCTGGAACGGGCAGCTTTTCCAGGTACGTGTGTCTGCAGAGACAATGTTTGTGGGGAAACACTTGTTCACAGCGCTGCCATTTCCAGCCTCACGCTTGCTATTTTTTCAGTACAGACAAACTTGTGCATGATCAATTAGTTTTCAAAAAAGCGTTTGTAAATTTCACATAAGTTGTTGAATGTATGTTTTTTTTTAACGGTGCAATGAACTGGTTTGTTACCATAACTTCAGCTACTTGTGTCACGTTTATTGTGTGGGGCACAGTTATGTCCTTGTTTCCTTCATGATGTGTTGCACCGATAAAGGATGTAAGAGTTCAGCTGTACTGGGACACTTGGTCAAATTTTTCTATAGCACAATGAGGGAATGAATGAGCATATGAAGCTTTCATGTAAGAAATCACTTGTAGGGGAGGAGCTGGGCACATACACTCAAACCTCATTACAACAAAGTTGCATCTTGCAAGAAAATAAGTTTGTTATATCTAAAAATTTTTTATACAGGTTTATTGCTAGACCTATATCTATTACAACACTATTTTCATTTACTTTGTTATAACCAATAATTTGTTATATCAGGGTTATATCGAAGTTTGAGTTATGACTTCCTGCCCTTTATCGTTGTGTAGGTGTATTGAGGCTGATAGCCTGTTGGTGGGATCTAATGAATGTGAGAACAGCACAACAGATGAAGACTAGCAGAGGACACATGCGCAGCATTGAGTGTCTTTTTTTCCCCGCAGTCCATAAGTTGTAATGCCTCTACACAGTAGCAGACAGGCCATTCAAGAGGGGTACAACTAAAAAATTAAGCATGGTTTGGTGTGTCCAGTATATTAGCTCCCACTCTTGCTCGGGTAATGGGACTTCGGCTAATCCTGCTGTGGTTAAGTAAGATCTTAATGCAAAACCGAGCTGTCTTGAAAGACGGGCATCTTCTAGTTCATCCGTACGTAGCGCAAGATTAAAATGCCGTTCGTTGATCTGAGGCACAGAAGTGTTGTGGAGGTGCAAATATAAAACTATGTTGAAGGTTACCAAGCCTTTGTTTTTTTAGCCGATGGGATGTTTATTGCGATGTTTCAGAATCTAGAAAAAGATTACATCTGTAGTGTACATTTGTGTTTCTGTCAATTACTGGTTTATAGCTTCGTGCTCAGGTCGCGATTTTTTTCTTTTTCTTGAGTATTGCACAATTATTCATTACTACGGAATATTGACTCGTCTAGCAATATGCACATCACTGTGTAATTCTCTCTCTGTACCAATCTCTTTTCAAATGTAAAATACGAATGATGATTGGGTGAGCTGGCATGGATTTAAGGTTATGAAATGGCACCACAAAGGGACGAATCACATGTATAATCACATGTCACATGTTCTGCGATTCATCTTATAAATAGTTGACAATAACCAAGCAAATCACTACCACGTCTGTTAAGTGTTCAGTGCATGCTTTTGTATTTTCTGCTGGCCTCCATGATTCAAGTCGCACTGCGACGCACCTCCATCCCCAAACCCTCGGAAGACGCGTAGCTTTCCTGTACAGCGTTTCCGTAAACATTTTCAATCATCTAGCAGTAAATAGGCTATCATTCAGGTGGAAACTTTCCCGTTCTGTAGTGCTCTTTTCCAGTCATTGCTTATCTGTAGCCGATGGCTGAGGTATTGTTTGCGCTTTTCAGAACTGCGATTAACAACAACAGCGGTGTTCGTACGCCGATGGGTGGAGTTTTCACCGGTGAGTGTTTGCCAAGCTGTCAATGTTATCTCTTTGGAGGGTGCTCTAGACAGCTTGAATTTTTGTTGTTGTTTGAACACATTCATTTGACAATGACAACTGCCGAGCATGGTGAATTTTCATTTACGTATTGAAGTAAGGGTTGTTTTGGAGTGCATGGCTATCCAACGAAAACATTTATAAGCTGTAAGTCTTATTAACCCCTGAACTGCTTTGCCTGCCTAAACTGTCACCAAACTGCTTTATTGTCTTTATTGCTCTTATTAACCCCTGAACTGCTTTGGACAAGCAGAGCTCGTCCTGCTTAAACCGTCACCAAACTGCCCTAGCGGTATAGGTACTCCCCTCTAGCGTTCAAGGGGAGACGCGTGTTTACGGTTTACATTGCGTGCTGTTCACTAGATGGCAGCATTTGCTCAGGGATTTAGTTTTCTCCTGCGGTAGGGGCGCGGTTTTTGTATGGAAAGACGGCGTGCGGTGGCGGCGACCCATGCATAGCTGGCCCGTGAACACAAAAAAGAAGCTTGATGCCTGCTCAAATAATGGGTTTGAATGGTTGTGCGGAGCTGGTGTCACTAGGAAACCCGGAAAACGTTCACGGAACTGGAAATCCCCAGGTTGGAACACCGCAGAACTGTGAAAAGCATGTGTTGCCCAATTTAGCCACCTTTGTCGACTGCATGGTTGACTTGCTCGGCGTAGCTCACTTCGGCTTCCGTTTACTGCCCGCTGCAACTTTCCGTCTTTATCTTTCCAGTAGTTAGCACGCCAACTGAGCTATATAACTGAGCGCGATCCACCTTGTAATAGATCGCCGAGTGAATGGCGAGAAAAAGTGGAGGCAAGCGCGACGAGCTCAAGACAACAACTTCCTGTGCTTTGCCTGATTTAAAATTCACAAAATAAGAAAAAAAAAAGGCATATAAACAAAAAAAAGTTCCTTACACTAGTATCGAATTTCTCTATTTGTCAAAGTATGTGGGAGCCATTAAATACGAACATTCACTTCAATCTCGCTTCGTTCAACCGGATCTTGGGATGTCCGACAACTGCTACGAGCATGCAGGTTCTTTGAAACCGAGACTAGCGCTGAGTTTCTGGGGCCTGAAGCTTGCCTTACACATCCTGTGCAGGTGCCATTGTGATCATGGCACTCGTGTTCATGGCGCCCTACTTCAAGTACATTCCCAAGGCCTCCCTGTCAGCCATCATCATCACAGCTGTCATCTTCATGGTCCACTACCAGGATGTGCCTGCCATGTGGCGAACAAACCGTGCGTGTTTACGTTTTTCTGTGTCATTGCATCTAAAACATGATGTTTGATGTTTCAGCATAACGAAGCCTTTCAGGCCAGGCCTCTTAGACTCGGCTCACTGTGGCTTCTGCAGCGGTCTTTTCAAATGGCTCATAGCCGTAAGCATGGGCTTGGGGGCGCTCTCCTCTAGTCACCTAAGAAGAGGCGGGGGGGGGGGGGGGGGGGACATGCTGCAACGAGCTGTCGCGTTCCCCTGAAGGGGGACCCGGTGCACACTTAAATATGCTCGCATCTGAAACAGCATCCTCACAGTCCCTGCTTTTCTACTGCCATTCTAATGAGATTTCAAAATTTTTTGGCTCAGTACCGCCACTGTCTGAACAATAATGGTAAACTAAGAGAACTAAAGAATTAGGTAGGTAACTGCATCTGACACCCCTCTTCTATAGTGAACTACAGGCTGCAGTGGCTCACTAGGCCTGACTGATTTTATGCAATACCTACTTTTCATAGATTAACTCTTTATTGATATATAACCAGCTTTACCTCAAGTACATATTACTGTGAGGATGAGCACTTTTGCGCTTTCTTAACCCTGTGGTTGACAGGTGTATTAGGGCAGCTGATTGCCGAGACTAGTGGGGTGGCTATGAATATACTGGTGGAATGGTATACAGGTGTGATCACAGAAATGGTGTGACAGGAAATGTGCCAGTCTTGGAGAAGGTGTGATCTGCGATTGCGTGGATTGTGTGGCTCGAGTGGTGGGTGTCTCTCGCTGATCTGCTGGGCTATGCACTAAATACGTGGCACAAAATGAACGGTTATGAAGTAATGATTAATAATCAGAAAAACTAAAAATATTGTTTGTACCCACAGAACGAGACCTTCCTCACTGTTGTGCGCAATCTTTGTTTCAGGCCTCGACCTGCTGCCCTTTGCTGCAACATTCATCGTGTCATTTGTCCTTGGCTTGGAGGTGAGTGCATCATGCACTCAAAGATATTTTGCAGCACTGCTTATTACTTGAACGGGCTCTGCGACGCTCTCCCACGCTATTGTCAAATGCCTTTCGACAGAAGCTTACTGCATGTCGAATAAGTTGTCACAAAAACATTTTGAATCTCTCAATTTCAAACACAGTTGCAAGAATTTATCGCAGGGTTAGAGCGCTCTTCTTTTGTTTGAACGAGTGGGCTGAAAGATACTCAGGTAACTGATGACCAGGAGGCAGAAAGTTACGTCAGTTCACATCATGGCTTTTGAGTGCCCTTATTAAATGAGCATAGTGCTGGCATTTGGCTGCACCCTGTGGTAGTCACAGCACCTTTTACAGCACTATACCGTGGAATCTCGATCAGGTGTGCCTCCTACGGTGAAAGATAATTCGACAAGATTGAGGGCGGGGGTGCTTGCTCGGTCATGGATCAAAATTCAAGATGGCAGCGGAAGGTCAGCCAAGAATAAAGAATGCACTAATTAAAGTGCACTAATTAAAGAATGCACTAATAAAAACTGCTTCTAATCAAAATAAAAATGACAGTAAGAGAGCCACCTAGAATAAAGACTGCACTGATTAGAGAATGCAATATAAATAGTGATTCTAATTAAAATATTTATTGTATCTGCCAGCATTTGCTCTTTTCTTTAATTTTGTTGGACGAATAAAAACGGTGAATGAAGTAGTGAAAATTGCGGGAGGGGAGAAGAGGCCGCATATTTTGAATCTCCCGAAGAAGGAAGGAGGTTGATTGTTTGGGCGGGGACGCTTGATCGGTATTTTACTGTAGACATGACCTAGCGGAAGCTGTGATGTGCAACTGTCATGCTAAAGTGCAGCAGAGCTCCCCTGTCACCTGGTGTGCACCGGCTTTGCCCTGCGTCATCTTGACCTCTGGACAGTAGCCCAATTCCCGATAGTGCATCTTGAAGTGGTTTCATTTAGTTAGACATGTCGAGCTCACAAACTATTATATACAGATTGTTATTTTTGCAGCATTATTCTAGTATCTGCTGATAAATTTATATGCAGTCAACACTTGCGACTTGGTCAAGTGAGTAAGAGGAATTAACAGTTGTATTTAACTGACGTGCTTTACTTCCAGTACGGCATCATTGTTGGCGTGGTCATCTCCCTTGTTCTGCTGATGTACGAGCATGCCAGGCCACGAGTGAAGATCACCAAGAAGCAGGCATGTGGTGTAGTTGCTCTTTTTATGCATGTGGGATGTTGGGCAGCCAATGCTGTACACTCAGAATAGGTGACATTTCAGCTGCTGTGATGCCAGTGGTCTCAGAGGCTTATCTTGCATACTATATAAATGAACTCTCAAAGGAAACTATACAACGATTGCGTTCAGCTGAATTGGCAGGTTAGAAAAACATGAACTGTTGTTTTTGCTAGCAGAACTAAAGTAATGTGCCAATGACGCATTCACATCAGATCAGCTTCCACTCTGGAAATGCTCTAACAGCTCATATTGGCCTGTCTGTCCCGTATCTTAATCTAGAGCCCTCTGATGTAGATAAGGCTCATATTAATTCATTTTTATAAACCTGCCAGACACTCACGCTCGAAATATGCACAAGATCAACTATCTAGCCACGTACTTTTGCTAATTAGATGTACAATTATTATTATTGCATGGGCAGATTTAATATGTCAATGCATGAAAAGAAAGGGAATGCATTGAGGGGCCAAAGGGCATCAAAATAAAACCAGGCAGAAGGCAATACGCCGTCAGTAGAGGCTGAATTCACAAACACTTGCAATGCTCTGCAGACTGAGCTACAGCCCCATCCACTTTCTAGGGTATTCTGTGTATTTGTTTCTATGTTTCACACTACAGCATACCCCCTTCTTTTTTCTTGCTTTAACATTTATTGACTGTTTTGCAAAGTCCCTCTAGCCTATTTTACAGTTAGAAAACAATATCTGTGTCATATATTGAACCAGTCTTTTAAATTTTGTAGAAGGCATTATCGAGATAACAGTGGGCCTTCCCCAGTGTCCACTACATTTGGGCATTCTTTTTTTTTTCCCGTTGCTAGCAGTAGTGGCTTCAAAGGCCTTCTCAGCGGCTAAGCGTATCAACATATCCAGATAAAAAGCTTTGTTTAGCCCATCTATTTATCCTTCAAGGCTCAGTTGTGCTGTGTTTGTGCAAGACTTTGCGATGGCTTGTTTTACGAAAAGCAGAGTGGCTCTTCTTTAAGCCATTTTTGAGCGACCTGTATGAAACTTGAGAAGCTTTTTGTCGGCCCTGAGATTGTACTTCTAGCACCTATAGCACCTGCTCAAAACAATTTCCGAGTCCAAGAGCCAAATCGTACCACCACTAGGCCTTTCCAATGTGTGGTTCAGTCCTTCAGTACAGCTTTGGACTCGGGGTAAAGCATTCTTCAGGGGCCAATTACCGATTGTACATTAGGAGACGAGGTAATGTCTACCTTCTTTAAGCTGTTCCAGCTTAAGTATTAGAATAGTCTTATCTGCTGCAGGCATTATAAAGAAATTCGACACAAGTTTTCGTGATATGCAGGGTCTATGCATATCAACATACTGATGCAGTATGTATTTTGTGCTCCCCAGACGATGTCGGGCATTCCATATGTCCTTGTGTCTCCTGACCGGACCGTGCTGTATCCCTCCTCGATGTACACCACCGACAAGATCACCAAGGCTCTGCCCGACACCAAGGACGCCTCCCCGCGATTCGTGGTCTACGACGGCGTCCACATCAACGTCGTTGACTACACTACCTGCATTGTAAGTCTCGTCCAAATAACTAAACCGAGCTGTACTGGGTCCCCTCACTACCAGGCTGGTTTGGTTAATTTTGTAGCTCTCGCAAAGTTTTTCGGTGACTCGACATTGTTTTCTCTGTTTTATAGCCTCCATAGTTTTTGAATCCAAAGTGGGATACTAATAGTAATTAAATCTATTGCTTGTAAATAATTTCCAAACTAAGAACAGGTTAACGAGAATTTATAACCTGAAGTTACTAAATGACGTAATCAACAATGATGGCACTTGTGTGTAACTGTTAGTTCTCTCTTATTTCTTTGACAATTCTAGTTGGCAATTTCTATCTTGTAATATCTTGTAATATATATCCGACACACCATCTCACCCTGGTGGCGAAGTTTAGCCTGAGTGGGTGCGGAGCAGTATCTGTTTATGCTTATATGAAGGCATTTTGCCAATTTTTAAAATATTTTCTTGATAATTTTAATTATTTCTAGTGATTCTCAGTGGCTGGATGAAAGTGTGCGTTCTGTTAAATCTTCAGCAAAGCATTTTGTTCCTTTCAGCACGTTGGAGAACAGTGTTAGCGCAAGAACGTATTGCGTGTCCAGCTACCATGTATAGAAAGGCAGCTGTATCAGCTATGAGCTGGTGTTCACCGAGAGAGTTGTCGCGTAGGCTTGATTGTTGGATCTGCACACATGTTATAGCATTGTGCATATGGAATGGGAAACTGACAAGAAAACCTGTGCCTGGTTTGTGAGCTGTTGCTTGGGTTTGTCGCTTGCTTTGGCACGAGGGAGGCTATTTGTGATGTAAACAATTGTGCCTTCTGTCAGTGCAGCCTGCGTTCTTGAAAATGATGGTTCTCGGTTTCTTTGGTCTTTCACTACTGCATGCCATTTTTAAGTGAAGCAGTAACAGGCACGTGCGCTACCATTGAACGAGCTAGGTACAGAACTAACATTTTCCAGGCTCCTCCTCCTACGGTGGTTGGTGCACTCACTATCGCCACTGCCAGTTAACATACTGCATGTCACGATACCGCTAGTTGCGAAAGGAATAATTGGCATCTGCCCGTATGTAGAACGAAGACACCAGGGAAGCTATTCTCGATGTGTTCGCCTTGTGGACATGTCCACTTCGGCAGAGCTCATCCAGTTACTCGAGAAAGTGGTGAGCTGTGAGGTCATTTGCTCTTGACTACATCAGCACTAAAAACCCACCCGCACCTTTTTAGCATATACAGAACAAAAAACTCTATGAAGTGTTCAATAAGGAGACACTTGCCCAGCTGTGGTGGTCTAGTGGTTATGGCGCTGCGTGCTAGCCCAAAGGTCAGGGGAGCGAATCCCGGCTGCAGCGGCTGCATTTTCGATGGGGTGGAAATGTTTGAGGCCCGTGTACTTAGATTTAGGCGGACGTTAATGAACCCCAGGTGATTAAAATACCAGAGCTTTCTGCTACGGAATCTCTCATAATCATATTGTAGTTTTGGGACATTAAATCCCAGATATTATTATTAGTAATATTAATAATAAGATAGTACTTGAACAAGCTTGACAAGTCCTAACTCGCGTATGAACGTGTTCAGGTGTTTGAGGACGATGCAGAAAATGCGTACGTTAGGCGGCCGGCTGCTAACGTGATCAGAGTTCATGCGCAGTCTCCAAGATGCGCTTCTAGAAGTGGATCTCTAGAGGCAGCATTCGTTGCAGTGAAACACATTCCATCCCTCTCATTTGTGTTGAGTATTGTGAAAGCTATGTTGTGGCGTTAAAATGATGCTGTGGAAGAAGGATAGGAAACGGGATGCGCTGCTCGCCAAGCTCTAGCCAGTCCTTGAAGGCCGAAGTGGTCAGTCCACAAGGTGGACACATCGAGAATCATGCCCCAGGCAATTCCCACAGATTTCTCACAACGTAAAGCTTTACAGTCCACGAAAAGCTTGACCTGCCCTGTGGTTTGGAGACCAGTGCTTTTCAGAGAGATGGTCACTAAAAGTTAAGATAACCAAGACGTTAGACGTGGGCTGCACGAGGGTGCATTAATTCACAACCCGAAGCACACTTACACTGCGTATGGCAAATCAGTTCTTCAGAAATAGCTGGAAGCTAATTTTGTCATTTATAATCCTCCTTACACTGTGCAGAATTGTATACAGCTGATTTGCTTTGTCACTATTTCTGCATCAGTTTTGCAACATCAAGGATTCCACACCTACTCGACAAAATCTGAACTACTCAACCTATTCTACATGAATGGGTTAGTCATGTGCCTTTCAAGAATGCCTTTATTGATGAGATTTCATGTCACCTTTGCATAGGACATGCACATCGCTTATTGAAAAGAGAGCAATAAAAGGTGTGTGAACAATACTCGGAACAGCTTGCCGTGAATTGCATTTTAGTCACACGTCCAGCTTTTGATAAAAAAAAAAAAACGGAATCATTTTCTTGATCCATTCAAAACACTTGACTTTCCTTCATTTATATTCAATATCGTAGCAAGCACTAGTCCTTCCAGGAAACATTACGTTTTTAGAGAGCCACTTTGTATTGTAAGCTGCAAATATGGTCAAGTGAAGTTCAATTGTGTATGTAAAGGCTCGTTCGCACCGAAGGCAGGGCGGCCAAAGCGGAGAGGCGGCAATGCGGAAAGCGGGAAAAACTTCCTCTCCAGGCGGCGAAAGCGGGAGAAAAACCAGGCGACAAATGCGATCGCTCTCGGAGCAATTTTTTGTCGCCTGCCGAGGCTTGCCGCTTTGCCGCAGCCAATCAGAACGCCACGCAACGGTAGGGCGGTGGTGGCGTGGGTGTACGTTTGGGAGAAGCGCGGACACGTCACAGGGACACGTGCGCAAAAGCACGAGATGCCCGCCTATTCTGCCGTGCGACTATCCATACGAGGCGGTCAGTCTGAATAGGTTCACGCACTCGCTGCATCGCTGCTTCGAAAAACCTACTTGGCCGCATTGACGCGCCGCATTCGGTATTACTGAGCCTTAAGTGTTTGAAAAATAAATGCGAACACTTTACACCAACTTTCTGCTGCGAGCATCGTGTATCATAGCTGAAGTGATGAGGTATCCAAGTTCTGTGACAGGACACGGTGAGAGTTTGTGGGTATTACAATATGTTTGAGTGATATAGATTCTGAAATACCGTGTGGTCATGTTTCTATCTGCAGGCTTTCAAGAGTCTCAGCGACAACTTTGCCAAGCAGCAGGCCACATTGATCTACGTTAACCTCAAGGTTTGTCAATACCGTATGCTTGTTCAGTTTTTAGATGCTCGGGGACAGGCAAAGAACAATATAAACACAGAACAGGTTTTGGCGCCCCCCGGCCATTGGCCCCTCTGAAAACACTGTGCCCACACGTTACAACATACAGCATATCGCACATGACGTGCTGGCGCACTCGCAAATGTTGCGCAACCAACGAATTTTTTTTTTTTTTATTAGAATACCCTCAGGGCCCGTAGGGCATTACAGCCCTACGGGCCCTGAGCCGCCTTTTCATCACCTGTGCACGAGGAGGGATCAAGGCTAGTTAGAATGCGGCCGAAAAATGATAGATCTTTGTCAGAACCAATGCACTTTCTGGGCTTCGGCACGGCGCAGTGTTCGATATGCTATGCGGGTGTTAGATACATGTGTGCTCCAGTCCCACACTTTTGCACAGGAAATTCGAGGGGATTAATCAACTGTTCGATATAGCGAATAATTATATATACCCGGGATTGACTGTATAACACTTCCAGATGTAAATGCACTGATAAACTCACTGGAGCGAACCGCCGCCATAACTCGATTGGTAAGAGCATCGGGCATATAATGTGAAGGCTGCGAAGCAGTTGCTGCTGGCGGCAAGTTATCTTTTTCGTGTACTTTAATTTCTTCACATTATAGTGTGATTACTACAAACAACATCTCTTATACTTTGCTTGGTGTTGTTATCTGTTAGTTATTATTTTCATGACCATTTCTTTTCCTTTGGTTGGCACAGCATGCAGACAGTTGCTTCTTTCTCAGCGTTGTACCTTAGTGAATTTCGTGTCGCTGCGCAGAAAAGCGGCTGTGCAGTGCTCTGTGCACGGCTAGCATAAACTGGCACTGTTAAATGCTATCTCGCGTTGTTGGTACTGATCATCAGTTGGTATGATCATCAGCACCATTGTACCTTGTTGGTGAGGTGATCAACTGAAGAGAAACCATCAGTGTTTGTAGGTTCATGTTTACTGTTTGTCTCACTTAGACCGCTCTATGCACCGTAGTACCCGTGAATCTTGAACTGAACTGCTAGTGTTTTATGTACATTGCTCAGTACAGTAGTGAAAGGCTTAGTTTTGATGTGGTTCCTTTGCAGAGCCAATTAAGAGGGTAGTGACGGTGCTTCATCGTTTTTTCAGCCAAATATGCAGTGTGTGCTTGATGCTTATGGCACATTGATGACATAAATAAGTATTATCTTTATATTTGCTAATGCGAAAAATCTCCATATGATGAGCAGGTGTCATCATTTGTGCAATCTTGACAATGCTGGCATGCTATATTCTTTTACGCTGATAACACATCTTGTAATTAATATTTATGACTCAACTTGTTAATAAATAATCTTTTACATTTTATACGACCTTATGTTGATAACATATCTTGTAAGTAAATTTTATGATTCACCTACTAGTTGATCAATAAGTGCTGCTGTTACTTTACCAATTTTTCTTTTTTTTTCTTTTTTTGTAGCCATCTGTGGCCGATGCCCTGCAAGGTGCAGGGCCTGTAAACTTCTACAGTTGCAAATCTGATAAGGAGCTCGATTCTCTTATCTCTGGTGAGTTTTGCAATGAGCCTCAATGCATGTGTACGGGGTGTCACACTCTGAGCTTCTTCACAGTTGAGCCTGTGTGCACAAAGTGGAGTCGGTGCTGCTTGGTGCGTTCGTGGCAAGAGTCTCAAGACAAATTGCTGCATAGATTTCCCATGCTGCCTTACATATGCATACATCCTTTTATTTCTTTGACTGCGTGTTTACCTGCTTGCTTTGAATGCATCCTACTGTGCTTGCTATTCAACATGCTTGTGCTCACCGGGTAAACCTATCCTGTCATGTTTGCTATGTACAGTCGGCGTGAAATGAAATGCGAGCAGCAGCAATCCTTTGCAATAACATAGTGCGCAGACTTAAGTCATCATCATTGACATGCGCACACATCCAGTTTGGCAGCACTGCACCAAATTCAGTCTAATTCATGGAGACCCTGCCAAGTTAGCCACTGTGCATGAAAAACAAATACTCTATTTAGGCTTACGCATTACTGATTCGAATTGAACGTGGTAGGCATAATGTGGGGGATCGTCATGGCTATTGAAATGGCATTTTAGGGGCGAAGCTCCTTAGGGCGTGGGTCTGTACATCCCATAGGGTTTGTTGTTGGTGATGTACGTAGCCACAGGTGGAACTTTTTTTTTTCTTTATTGCCTTCTTGACTACAAGTCAAGCTAATACGACAATCACTATCACACGTGTTTCATGCGTGCTAACGCATCAAACAAAGATATTACATCTTCAGCACAGTCTGTTGTATTATACACATCTTGCACTTTTTCAACGTTGATATCGCAGACACGACCAATAATTGGCCTATCCAACATGTGGCTCCTAGATATGCACTCAGATATATAATGTATGACCATATGAAACCAACCACGATCTAATTAACATGCAGTGACCTAGTATTTGCGAATTTTCTACTGCAACCTACACAGTAACCGCTCACCCTTCATTTCAGGGACCATAAAGCCATCATAATGAAGGGACATCGCAAGCCATTCATCGTCTCTAAGAGCAAATAGAAGTTGATTTCTATATATACACACACAGTGTTTCTCATGATGTCTATACATCATGATCGACTGGGCGAATCACACACGGAACATTCATGGTTTTACCACTTATTCTCTCCAGAGCTTCCCCCACTCGTCATCATTCACCCCGTGGATATGCTGCGATTTTTTTTTGTTTGAGTCCCCAAGTTTTAATGAACGTTCACAAAAAGTATCGCGACTACATTTGAAAAAAGGAGCACTGTTCTTTGAATGTGTGTATAAACATCGCATCCGGTAACCACTAGTGCGGCTCAAACCTGGCTCTATTGGTTGCATTTAATTTTCTCTTAGGTGGCTGAGAATGACACTGTTGTCAATTTATTTCTGAGAAGGTGTTTTTTTTGGTGGGGGAAAGTTATCATGCTTTCCTGAGTTAGAACATGCTTTTCTTGCTGGAGTGATGAACAAAAAGCCTTTTTAAAAAATTAGCGCAGCTTGCGCATTGTTGCACAAGTCTGGGTCAGAGCGGAGTCAGCGGGCATCTAGCTCATTCCGACTTGGCTAGGCTTTTATCCTCTGACATTTCTCTTTCGGACCTATTGCTCTACTATGCTATACGTGGCTATGCTTACTTCCTTCGCCTATTTGTTTTTCTGTCTGTCTTTTTGTATCTTTCTCTCTATGCCTGTGGGCAAACCTCGACCATAAAGCTTTGTGGTAAGGCTTTTGTAGGGCATATTTCCTACAGAAAAGTTGTGATGTGGGCCTGTTGGTTTGCCATTAGAATGCATAAAGTTGCGCAACTGAGACAGGTGCACAAGAATAAATACGATTAGGTGAGATGAGCACGTGTTGTGCAGGGAACGAGATGAACAGGTGAAATGTGTAACCTCAGGAAATGCGCACTGTGTGCTACTATATTATACGTGTTGGTGGCACGTATAATATAGTTCACGTGGTTCTCGAAAGCTGCGCTTTGTGTCTCCAATTTTGTCGCTTGTGTCTTGCAAGGGGGTGACTATTGCTATAGCTCAGTTGGTAGAGCATTGGACATGTTATTCAAAGATCGCAGGTTCAGTCTATGCCAGCGGCAAGTTCTTTTCGTTCTCTTCACTTTCTTCACATATAACTCAAACCTCGATATAACGAACCCGGATATTACAAATTATCAGTTATAACAAAGTGATGAATAGCTTTGTTGTAGATACAGTGCTAAATATATGTTTATAAGAAATTTTTGCATATAATGAGGTATTTTTATGGCAGATGATCTTTATTTCTTTATTTTATAGGCATAAGATACAGAAATACCAAAACTGGCATACCAAAATATCTCACTTAGTTTTAACGACATTTGAGTGTACACCATAATTACTACAAATAACATCCCTTATGGTTTCTTTGGTCTTATTGTCTGTTAGTTTTAATCAACACAAAACAAGAAAGACAAGCACTTGTGTATGTTGCCATTCCACACAGCATGTGCTGCCATATGCTGTAATGGTCAACTAACTAGCACAGCACTCCAGTACATTTTAGCCACGCACCGCTTACACTTAATTGACATGTTGATAACGGTTGAATTTTCAGCAAAAACTCGAGAAGTTAAGTATGTGCATTTCATCACATGCTTTTGAGGGAGACGGAGAAAAGCAAAGGAAAGGCAGGAAGGTTAACCAGGTTGAACGCAGTCTTCTACTCTGCACTGGGGAATGGGGAAGAAAGAAAAGAAAAAAGAGGTAAAATAGTGCACTAGCACACATAGCAGCATGTACAATGCATGCCCAGAAAGTCGTAAAACTGCGAACTCTCTCAGAGTACGGGTCGACTTCGACTGTTTTAGACGAAGCACACTGCAATTCATGATGTTAAAGAAGGCTTACAAATACTGGCTCCAAGGTATTTAGTACTTGCAGTGTGTTTCGAGCTGTTGTAATTCCATTGAGGAGTGTGTGCATTGGGCTCATCAACGATCTAACTCGGCAATGACACGTAGGTCTTCGTTCGGGAGGAGGCACCAACTATGAAAGAGTGATGGACAAAAATATGGATTTATACTTATTGATAGGCGGAAAAGCACAGGCAGTGAAGCATTGCGATACCAATGGCAAAAGCAAAACAAACACTGAAATTCATGTCATATCTGCTTTAAGAAAACACATCTTTCTTTGTTGCCTTTCATTGCGCATGTTTGAATAAATGGCTGTAAATGAGGAAAGTCATTATGTTTTATGTTATGATGACTCAAGGTGAACCATTTTTCTTAGGTGCACATTAATGGATAAGATAGTCGTGGAATTTTGCCTCTGTTTTGCTTCCCTTCTGCATTGCTTTTTTTTTGTGTGGCATTGTCTGCTGCTTGAGCTTCGGCAACATGCTGGCTTGTACCCGTCCATCCTCCGCGTCTGCTTTCAGCGGCTTGCGCTCACACCAATATGGCTCTCTTGTCGACGTGCAAGCCTGGAGATGAGGATGACTATAGTGCTGATGATGATGGAAATTATAGTGAACAGCCCGTTTCTGGGATGGCTCACCCTGCCGTGAAGGTGTGATGCCCAGGGCTGGTCACACCTGCTTGAAAAGATGGGAACATGACAAGATTGTAAGATTGCCTTAATTATCATGCACGCATGATTACATGCACCGTGGAGTGTGGGGAAAGGCTTGCATGAATTGCATGCTGCATCGAGGTAGCAAATATGTACTGCAATGGAACAGCTACTGCTATACAGGGTGTGCCAAATATCATGCAGCGCAATTTAAAGACAGGTAAATGTGTTTACATGAAGCATACGTAGTGCACATTGTTCCCAGTAGTTCTGCAGTAGGCAACGCTAATATTCTCGCTAATGTGGTTTTGTTAATTAGTCATAGTTATGTTTTTAATTTGACAAGTACTCGCTTAATCATTAAAATTTGAATGAGGCACATTGTAATGCGGTGCTAGAAGGGCGCTCATATTCATGCTCTAATGACATCCAACCGTGCTATTTTCAACGGCGTACTACCTACGTGCCCATTTTCAGACTGATGAGGAAAGCACGCGAAATATGAAAAGTAAGTCAATATGCTCCCACCCGCAAAAGTCGGAGCACAGTCTTGTCTTGTTATTGCCCTTGTTTGAGGACACTGCTTCCTGATGTGCGCTGCAATCTTGTTAAAGGTCATTTTTTCAGATTTTGTGGGCTTCGTTTATTAGCCAAAAAAAAAAGTGAGCACACAATAAGCACATTGTTCAAAACAGCACAGTGAGATGTGATTTGAACATGATTACATATGCCACATTGACATTTTGATGATTAGGTGAGTATTTGGACCGTTAGAAACATGGTACCTATTTGGGACACCCCGTACAATAGCTGCCTTAATTGCCTATCATTATCTGAATAACAATAGTGTACCTCTAGTTTTCCCCTTTTTATAAGTTAATTTTCTCTGTGCCTTTGACTGGCTTTGAGGATTTTATGCTGAAGAAGCCTACTTATAGTCCACATTTTAGGAGCCTTCTGATAACATTATTATTAGCCTTTAGGAGTTTGATTCACATTGGCCAAGGCTGCTTTTTTCTCTTTGATGCAGTGTTAGTTTTTATCATGCACTGCTAATATGCAGTCAAACGTAGACAGTGAACACTGGTATAGTTTATTACCAGGCGTAAGTGTAGCAAAGGAAATCTAACATCTTTATTATCTATACAAGCACGTAAACATTGTATACTTGCAGAAAACGTGGAACATGTAGTGTATGACTAGAGCATTATGTTCGGTGCCACATTTGTGTAGTAAGTAGGTTTCTATGTTGGCGTCATAGTAGCACCTGCATCGTGGCATGAGCAGTGCATGGCATGCTTTTGTTGTAGTCTATATGAAGATTCTTGTCTAGTAGTCCTATTTTCGTGTTTTGTCACGTACTTTAGGGTTCGGTATTCAGTTTAAGACACTTTTGTGCTTGATCAAAAGAGAGAACACAAGCACAAACATGAGAAGTTACATTGTATTGTTTGGCTAGTTGGTGAAGCCGTAACAAATATGAACCAATTGGGCCAGTAGGAATCGGCACTGAAACAAGGACATCATAACTGTTCTGGCTGTCCCTAATCTCATGTGCGCGGGTTCACACATCAACCCTGGATCAGATAGGAGAAAAGGAAAATCTACAGATCGACATAGTAGGCATCGCAGCCTCATTTTTGATGATCAAAAAGTGTGAGGTATCATTCCTCAAAAGCAAAGCGGGCTACACCTGCTTATGGAGTTCACTAACAAGGTTATTTTACTCTGTATTTGTTTTTGCTGTCGACATTTTGTACACCGACATATATACGTGCATGACAGTAAGCTTGTTTATTCAGTAAAACTTTTACATGCAAAGGGGCATGCGTGACAGACTGCTTAAAAAAATTGTGCCTTCAAATTTCTGGTCCTACAGAGGTCTAGTAGCTCGCGTAGTAGTGCTGTTCTTTCTGGAACATTTAGGAGATAGGACGTTTCTATATGAAATAAAAGTGATTATTTTGGCATATCTATGTAATGGTAAATATGAGCTTTTATCAGATAAAAAGATGCTAGATTATTTTATACATACTTAAAATGCTGTTCACATTTGATGTATATACAACTGAGGATTAACATGTTTGTGTTATTTGGTGATAATGATAATGACAATGAAACACCGTCTGTTATGTTCGTTGAGAGAGCCAGGAACCGCAATGCCACAGCACTGTTGTTGTGTGCCGTTGAAGGTGATTCAGTTTTGACTAGGTTTGGCCGACATGAGAAAATATTTGTAAAGGCAGGGCATTATTATTGCTGTATGAGTGTGGACAAGTTAACAGCTTTTTTCAAGGAACTGCTCAGCAAAACCATGTGTTCTGTTGCTCCAAATTTCAAAAAGTGCATATTTGTGCACTTCTACCTTATAGGTTATAAAACTAGCAAATAAACCTATCTGCATAGTTTCTTCTGGAACAAATAATGTTGAAAATTTAGCTAAGCTCAGATGTGCCGCAATGTTGGAAGTCCAAATTGAAATTGGCATGTTTTTCAAAGAGGTGTAAGGGTGTGATAACCTAAAGATAGCTTTTATTCTTTCTCTCAACTTTTCTGATGGCAACTAAGCACTGCACCTTGTGCATTGCACGTGTATGTGCACCTATTGACTGAGACATGCATTATTTTATAGGCGCGGCCACTGTTGGAGGTAACACTGCACGCGTGGCTGGCTACTTGGATCACCAAGCGGGCACCGTACAAAGTATTGCGGTGCAAGCTCAGTCAGCGTGAGAGGCGGTGTTACTTGCGCGTCGTCAGCTGCGCTCTTCCCTGTTCGCTGTGCGAGGTCTGGTAAAGCTCTCGCACAATCAGGGTTTCACCGCTCGTGGTTAAGTGACGGGAACCGTAGCAGACGACGTGCAGATTATCCTGCCTCTGACATCGATTGCGCTTGCACTGCAATACTTCGTGCAACGACTCGATCCAAGTTACCTCTAACGGTGATTGAAGTTTTGAAGTTTTATTCACATGAAATAAGCACATTTTGTTTGCAAACACTGTATGACCCCTTAGCCGAAGGCTAGTATTGGGGTCACTTACAGACATGTAATTACAGAAATACACATTAATAAAATTATAAATAGCAGATAGAATGCATACTCGCACATATCTATATGTAGATACACATCTATTTACTCATACATATTGCCACTAGTACAAGTTCTGCAAGTACTATTATTTCCATAGACGCTGACAGGCTTGTATGTGCCGCTCTTCAAAAAGAGGACGAAGATGCGCGTGCAGAGAAAAACGATAGTCATATTGCCGTTGTTCGGATCAGTTTGACATCCTTGTGTGCCATTCAGTTTGACATCCTTGTGTGCCATTATCTACAGGTTAAAGTTACGGTGTAACGTGAATGTGGACATACGCATATATCTATATATACACACACATATTTAACAGACAAGAATATATGGTATAGAACAACGAAACAATGTCGTGTATAACTTAGATGTGGTAAGCATATTAAAATTTTATATTGTTATCCTGTTTCTAGTTCTCATGCACTCATATCTCATATTTATAAAGTTTTTTCCTTTCTGGTGTTGTCATAGACTGCATGTCACAGTGGAAAGGGGCATCGTCAACTCTGAGCAATGGCTCCACGTCTGTACCTGAGGCCACGTGGGGGGACACGCTTGATAGCTCTACACCCCCCGATGCCAACTCCTGAGAGTTGTCTTCAAGCCACTGGCATTCGACGCTCAGAATATCTGTTCCCGTTAGAGTGAAGATTTCCATTCTGGAATGATGAGCTGACATGTCTGCTTGCTGGAAGGAAAACAACTCGTGTTGTGTTTAAGTGTTCGGACCAATTTGTTCATGTGTGGTCCGGTCTTCTTGAAGTACGACTCTACTTTATGGGGCATAGACCCAGTATTTTCTCTTTTGGAAGCTGTTGAACAGTTTCTATGCTCCTAATTACTAGAAGTAATGCAGCTCGTTAACTTTACTTGGGCATTACCCTCAATAAATTAACCTTCGCACATAAGCTTTTGCGCAGCTAAAGGATGTTTCTCGTACGCAAGTGCAGACAGTCATGCCATGTGTTTAAGATAAGCGAAGAATAAGAATGATTTTATTGACTAGGAAGATGTGCAAGTTGTGGGCAGGTTCCACAGAACAAACTTTGAAATCCCCGAATTGCCCTGTCACAACCTAGTGATGCCTCATGGAGGTATAACTGTTCTCCTTTATATGCAGACAACTGGCAAAAACATGATTACACTGATGGTGGACCTATTACTCCACATAGGTTGATGTAGCTTTTTCATGCCAATCATGCCTTCTTTTGTGGCCATGTTATTTGATAAAAGTTAAACAGTCAGACGAAACTTCGATGAAACTTCTGTGCTGAAACTAAAGACACAACGAAGTATGATTCCATACCATAATTGTTTTTATGTGCTGGCCTTTCATTGATATTTTTTTGTGCCCCTTTGAAAGGGCTATTGTACTGGCGTGCTTCTCACACGTGCAAGCATTATCTTCATCTGTGCCAGAGCCTAAGGGTCAACCTAGTCAGCGAATGTTGTTGATTGCTTGCCCGTGCGGTACACATTTATTGGGCTTTGCACTGCGATAGCATTGTGCTACATTGTAAATATGTATATATTATGGTATTTCTTCCATTGATTTTGCTGGCGCTATCTCACCAAACCTTTGCAGTGCATTTGAAGCCACAGGAACTATTCAAATGCAGGGATGTAAAACAGAAAAGCCGTTTTTTCACAGCATAAATTTTGAACTGGAACAAACAAGCCAATGGCATGTGTGCTTTTGTCAGTTTAAATTGGATGCACATTCGCACAGCCCTTCATGTGTCTAGTTTATTTGATCTTGTCTGGTCATGTTCCTTGCCATATTAGAAATATTAATATACAGGATCATAGAGCAGTTAGTTATGTAGAATTTGTAAATACGTTTTCTTCCTCGGAACTTGCAGGGGTATCTGTTTTCCTGATTGGGCCACTAACTTCTACAGCACTGCAAGGGATTGGTGGGACAGAGTTTGTGACGTTGTGATGGCAGGACTCAGCGGTAACGCTTGCAGAAGTGGGGAAGCTTCAGTGAGAGCTTTCGCTACTACGTACAGGCTTCAAAAGGAAACAACTTGCAGAGACAATACAAAGTGAGGGAGACAAACAATAACATTAACCGGTGACTTTACTCTTTAAACTCTAACTTCGTTGTAACAGTCACATCTGCCATGAAAGCAACTTCGTTATGTCCGAAAATTTGTCACACTGTGTCCACGACAAAACTATCTTTCATTTGCTTCGTTATAACCGAAAATTCGTTATACCTGTATATGTTATATAGAGGTTAGAGATTTATGAAAGAAGCACGAATATAGAACATTGGAAACCACTGCATACCACTGCGCATAACCAAAGGCGAAGGAGCTGCAATCATATTTCACCAGTATTATTGCGGTCGTTAGGATATATTAACTCTGTGTCAGTTAATGCCACAGATGTACCACGAAGTGAGAGCTAACACTCCTTTTTTTGGACCAGTAGTAGCTTGGGTAGCTTGGAGATTTGATTTGCACAAACATCATTGTAGCACTTGGGGACTGAGCAAATGCGGTTAATGTCCTTCGCGTAGGGCATTGACAACCTTCAGCCTTGATGAAATAGTGCCTTCTGTGTGTTGTAGCCATAAGTTCTGTTGCTTACGTTTGAGTAAGCTTGAAGTGTTTTTCTTCAACAATTGTGAATTTTGGTCGTTCTTAATGATATACCGTATAAGCAAAAGCACCTGTTATGCTCTATAGCCACATTCATGGAACTTCTTTGATTGTTATGTAGTGTTATGTAGTGATTACAGTTTTAGAAATTAAACGCAGTGGTGTTGCTTGTGAATTTTGCCATTTCTCAATTGAACCTGGTATAGCTTCACTATCACTCCAAGCAAAGAACACAGTATTTTTGCTGCACTTTTAATTTTTAGTTGTTTGGTCACTACTGCTATAGTTTTTCACGTAAATATAGTTGTTTTGTTACATCCATTCTATGAGGCATTTTTTCTACTCTTTAGATGTTTTCGTGCTTTAATGAAGTGCTGCTATTGCTCAAAATAGACCACTGTGTGCTATGTACAACAGACTGTAGTACAGCACTCTGCGAGCTGCTAAGCTGGGCAAAATGCAGTGTGGTCTTCTCTACAGAAGTGCCTTGTGTTGACAGCTGTGCTGTTTTTTTAGCACATTTTTTATGAGTGCTATTTTTAGTTAGCAAACAACACTTTTTTATTCATGCTGTGCATGAGAGATGCCTTAAAAAAATTTGTGATGTGCAGTCTACTTACAATGAGGACGGGAACAGGAGACAGCAACGTATGTAACAATGTCCGGGACCACGAATTGGTGCATTTTTCTACAGCCAAGGTTTCCTGTGGCTTGTATGATGACGATCTGTAAAGCATGACTGCTGCACATGGCTTGGTATGTGCGTGGAAAGATTGTGTAAATGTAGTTTTGATGAACTGCGGAGTGAGCAACGCTGTGATGTGGGAGGGAACTATTTCAATCAGGTCTTGCCCTTTTTGCAGGCTTTACATTGGCAACCTTAACGGTGACCCTTTCTTCCAAGAAAACCACGTAACTCATTCTTTCTGGCTCTAATCCTGAAATGCCTACGTACTGCACAGATGTTAGGAAATTTGAACAGTTTTTGAACAGCGACGATACATGTGACAATCAGTGTTGTGCGCTCTATTGAGTGCACCTGCTAGTCTGTTGTTATTCTCGAAACAATAAAACCTATATTTATGTGCAACTTTGCAACGTGTGTGTTGAACAGGAGAAATCGAGTTTTCTTCGCAAATGAAATTGTGTGCGTTGTTTCGACTAAGTGCAATGGAGAAAGATTGTTTATTTGTTTGTTGGTTGTAGCCACAAAACACAAAACTTCTAAAAAAAGTAGTATCTGAAACGGCTACAAATAGCTGTAGCCGTCTTGGTCTACGAGAAGATTAAATATGGACAATTTTTTAATGATTCAAGATTTCCACCTCAAATGTGCTTGCATACTGTTTATAAATGTGTACACATTTGGATGCTGTTAGCATTCTTCCAAGACTCTGGTACTCTTCCGGGAACGTCAGGAGACACCTCGTAAACAGGGTGGCTAGCTTTTCTAACACAATCTGCCCTTCATCTTTCAGCAGATCTGATGTTACCTGATCCTCACCAGCAGCTTTGCCTCTTTGCATGCTCTCCAAAGCTTTTCTGACTTCTATCATTACTGGTGGGGTGTTATCTGGGTTACTGCTAGTTTTTATAGCATTAAGGTTGTGGTTCTTCGGCTACTATACAGATCTCTGTAAAACTTCTTCGCTGTTTTAACTCCTCCACTATTTTAACATCATCTTAATGCATAAGAAAGGAGATGACAAGGACTTGAATTACAGGCCGATCAGCTTGCTCTCCGTAGTATGCAAGCTATTTACAAAGGTAGTTGCTAACACAGTAAAGAAAACATTAGAATTAAATCAACCAAAGGAACAAGCAGGATTTCGAACAGGCTACTGAACAATTGACCACATTCATACCATCAATCAGGTAATAGAGAAACGCTCATAATATAACTAACCACTATGCATAGCCTTCATAGATTAGGAGAAGGCGTTTGATTCAGTGGAAATATCAGCCGTCATGCAGACACTGCGGAATCAGGGCGTCGATGAAGTATATATAAACACCCTGCAAGAAATCTACAGGGGATCAACTGCTACCATAGTGCTTCATAAAGAAAGCAACAGAATACCAATCAAGAAGGGTGTAAGGCAGGGGGATACAACCTCCCCAATGCTATTTACCGCGTGCTTACAGGAGGTTTTCGGAGGCCTAGAATGGGAACAGTTAGGAATAATGGAGAGTACCTTAGTAACCTGCGCTTCGCAGATGACATTGCATTGCTCAGTAACTCGGGGACGAATTGCAACTCATGATTACGGAGTTAGACAAGGAGAGCAGAAAGGTGGGTCTTAAAATTAATCTGCAGAAAACGAAAGTAATGTACAACAACCTCGGAAGAGAGCAGCGCTTCGAGATAGGTAATAGTGCACTTCAAGTTGTAAAAAACTGTCTACTTAGGGCAGGTAATAACCGCGGAGTCGAACCACGAGATTGAAGTAACTAGAAGAATAAAAAATGGGGTGGAGCACATTTGGGAAGCACTCTCAAATTATGACAGGTAGATCGCCACTAACCCTCAAGAGAAAGGTATATAACAGCTGTATCTTGCCGGTACTTAGCTACGGGGCAGAAACCTGGAGACTTACAAAGAGGGTTCAGCTTAAATTGAGGGCAATGCAGCGAGCAATGGAAAAAAAAAATGGTAGGTGTAACCTTAAGAGACAAGAAGAGAGCAGAGTGGATTAGGGAACAAACGGGGGTTAAGGATATCATAGTTGAAATCAAGAAGAGGAAATGAACATGGGCCGGGCATGTAGCGCGTAGACAGGATAACCGTTGGTCATTAAGGGTAACCAACTGGATTCCCAGAGAAGGCAAGCGGGTTAGGGGGAGACAGAAGGTTAGGTGGGCAGATGAGATTAAGAAGTTTGCGGGTATAAATTGGCAGCAGCAAGCACATGACCGGGTTAACTGGTGGAACATGGTAGAGGCCTTTGTCCTGCAGTGGACGTAGTCAGGCTGATGATGATGATGATGATGATGATGATGACACATTTGGATAGCTGATAATGTGGTCCTGTGTGACACCTCCACAGGGCATTTTTTTCAATTCAGTTTTCACTCTAGCCCCGTTTTTCTTTTTTCTTTCGTCAGTATACACGATAACATTGAAGGACACGGGCGGCGGGCAACAAGCAATGTGGCCATGAAAGTCATCTGCTGTTGTGCACTCTTAACAAGTTACGCTGTGAAAATATTGAAACGCTGAATTTCCTATTTGTAGACAAAGAAAGTAAGGCTAGATTCTGGTGTGGAGTATCTTCCCCAGTAAAATAATGCATACTTAAGCCTTAAGTGACTTATGGTACGCTGGCCTTGAAATGCAGCGTGTGGTGTAAAACCTCGCTCGACCTCAACAAAAAAAAACAAAACAAAAAGAAACGAACCCAGGTAAAAGCTGGAATTGAACTGAGAGCTCTGCGTGGCAGTCAAGCATATGTTCTACTACGCCAGTGCTTGAGAATGCTTGGGAAACAGTCATGTTGGCCAGACTCATCAGGAAATGCAAAATAATGTGTGGCACAAGCGCAGTATTTCGCTAGAGCCGTTGCACTTCTTGAACTGGGTAACGTGGGGATGGTTGAATTTGTCACCCCATTACAAAGGACTAAGATATTTCGTACACTGTATCTTAGTCCTTTGTAACGACCTTAGTCCTAAGAAATGTATCTTAATTGCACTGTAACAGCACTGTAACAATGACAGACGCAAGGCTAAAGGCACAGAGGAGACCAGCCCTGGCTGCTGCCGCTTTGCGAAGTTTTGCCAACTTTTCTCTTTCTTAGTGTACTCATTTTTCTCTCAGTTTTTGTTTGTCTTCTTTGATTCTGTTAATCTCCATAATTTTTCCTTTCATTATTTCTTTATATTTATTTCGTCGTCTCCTTCATTCTCTACCCCTCTGTGTTACTTGCGTGCTTTTTCTATCTCTCTAGCTCTTATTTCCATTTCCACCTTTATATTTCTACGCCACGCTCTACTCTCTGCCTTCTTCTCTTTTCTCGCTCTCGCACCTTTCCTGCTTACGTCCGTTTCTAGCTATACAAGGATATCTACTTACCATGCCTCGACAGCCGCGATTGTATTCGGTTCTCGAGTACGCGGGTTCGAATCTCGCTTCGCGAATGAAATTTATCTTATTGAATCTTGGTATTTATTTATCTCTCTCTCTTTCACTCTCTCTGTACCCATTGTGCCGCCCATCAGAGTTATTGCACCTCGCCCTGGAAAATCTGCGCATGGCTTCTGGGGGAGAGAGAATATATTAATGAATCGAAGAAGGCTGAAGAGTGAGGTTGAGTGACGCTTTAACTGTCTCTTAGGCGAGGGTACCACAACCGCGACACTTGGGGGAGAAGGGGGAAAGATGTAGGGAAAGAGTTAGAGCGGAGTCAGAGGCGTGGGTGTGTGTGTGTGTGGGGGGGGGGGGGGGCAGTATAACTGAGGACTGACCACTTAAATGAAGAAAAAACGGCGTGCCGGTTGATGATGATGATAGTTTAGAGTCGAGTCAGATTCTGCTTTGTATAAACAGCTCGGGTGTTAAAAAATGGCTACTCAATGGGACAAAACAAAAAAAAGCACATGTATCCAAAAAGTAGCCGTAAAGCCATGAAATTTTCGTCGCCAAAAAGGATCGTAAAGTATCCAACTTGGCGCAAACTAGCCACCAGCGGTAACCCCGACTGCCGAGGTATTGTACAGCGTAATGGAAACACGAGGATGAGAAGGGAGGACACAACACGTGCTCTAAAAATTGGCGCGCGTTTTGTGTCCTCCCTTCTCGTCCTTGTGTTTCTATTGCCCTCAATGCCCGCCGCGGTGGGAAGTGGCTAAGGCACTCGACTACCGACCCGCAGGTCGCGGGAGCGAATCCCGGCTGCGGCCTCTGCATTTTATATGCAGGCGAAAATGCCGTAGGCCGGTTTGCTCAGATTTGGGTGCACGTTAAATAACCCCAGGTGGCCGAACTTTCCGGAGCCCTCCACTTCGGCGTCTGTCATAATCATATGGTGGTTTTGGGACGTTAAACCCCACATAGCAATCTATTGCGCCAAATATTACCTATAGCGTCTTGCCAACAAGGCCACATTTACCCCCTTCTGCTGACCCGTAGGATGCGGATTACATCCCGGTCGTGGCGGTCGCATTTCTTTAAACGTGCAATGCTGTTCTCAGTCGTTACTGTTACAAGTCGAAATTACGCCGATATGATACAAAATGAAGAAAGCAGACACGACAGTTGGCGCATTGCACTAAGGGTCGAAAATTTTTTCTTTCGGACCTGCTCTTCGTGTTTGCACGCCTTGTATTTTAGATTGAAAACTAACGAATGAATGAATTATATATAGTACCAACATATTATTATTATTATTATTATTGTTATTATTATTATTGTTAGAAAGCTCTGTATTCAGATTGATATGCGCGTTCAATACTGTTGGACCAACGTTAAGCTGAACCGAAATTTACGCCATAGTTGCCAGTTGCATACAAAACTATGTCGTGTGGGCCAAGATAAATTTATGACCTAAACGAGGACGTGACAAGATAGAATGAGATTGATGGCGCTGCTGCCAAACTGCGTTGAATTTGTAAGAGTAAGCAACGCGCTTCGCCGCGAACGCATTGAACTTCTACGGAGCAACTTGTTTTGTGCTCGAGCGTTTATATACACTTCCGATTGGCGCTGCGGAACCGACGTGTGCTTTCCGGCACCGTTAACACTACAAGGGCGATTGCCTGCAGCGGAAGTCGACTCTGTACTGCTACCAAATGACGCGAGAAGCAATTTCACTCAATAAATCACTGCCGTTCTCAAACGCGCCATTGACTTTCGCTTCTGCTGCGTCGTCAAAGTTTTTTCTCGCGGGGCCACTGCTTCCATTCTTTCCTTAACTTTCGATCGATTACCCTGACACTCGTTTTCGGACTCTTTCTATAGCGCCACTAAGTGATGCCTTCTATACAGCTTAACATGTCAGCTTTAGATTCGTTTTTATTCTGAAATTTCCTGAAACGCCACGCATATATTTTTGTGCCAGGCTTCTTGCTTTGCAATATAACTATACTCTATACAGGA